AACTACACAAGCTCTTGAGATAACTAGTGGGAGCTGAGTGGAAAAAATGCGCTTAAATGCTTTCTGTGCCACACCTGGTGTCCAAGCAGGCCAAGGATGTTTTATCTCCAGGTGCTCAGCGATACAGCAGACACACCTGTGGTGATGCTGACAGTGTGAACTGTTCTGAGAGCAGTGAGGGGACCCTTAATGGAGGTGGGACCCACAGGTGAGCCTGTATGTGGCCTTTAGATGGCCTGGCTGGGAGAAGAGAGCGTTCAGATTAGGAGAACGGTGTGAACGGGCTGGTGTAGGGTCTTCCTGGACTATGGTAGGAGGCATGGGAAGTCTAAAGCTTGGGTTTGAATGCTATCTTTCTTTCTTTCTTTATTTGATTGGAGTTTGAACTCAGGGCTTCATGTTTACAAAGCCGGCACTCTACCATTTGAGCTACACCTCCAGTCCAGAATGCTATCATTTAGGTAGCTTTGTGATCTAGGGCAAGTTACCTAACCATTCTTTTTTCTTTCCAGTGCTGGGGGTCAAACCCAGGTCTCATGTGTGCTAGAAAAGCACTTTATCGCATAGTTGCACCTAACTGATCTAAGCCTGAGCTTTCTCATCTGTGAAATGGGGTTCTCAGAGTACCCACTCTGAAGGTGTTGAGTTGGCTGCAGGAGGCAGTGACTTGTGTGCGTGAAGGGAGGAGGAAGGTTGGATTGGCATTGGAGCGAAGATTTGGAGGGCCTTGTAAGTCCTAAGGAGGAGTTTAAACTTGACTGAGTTGGTGGTGGGAAGCCACTGAAGGCTTTCTGTTTGGGGGTAGACTGTGAGGGTGTACACTAACAGCAGAAGAGATCCCCAAGTTCAAGGGTCCAGATGGCAGGCCATGGTGTTAGGATTGGAGAGGACTTGGGAGGCAGGGACTTGCCTCTTCCTGGCTGCCATCTGGATGAGTCTGAGGTTTCAGGACCAGGAAACAGAAAGAATAGCAGGAGGAAGTGGGAATTGGAGGCAGGTTTCACATTTATGTTCTTTAGGCTTTTAGTGAGTTTAGTTTTAAGCCTGTTGATCGTGAGATGCTGTAGGACTCCTGACTGAAAATATCTTGGGAAACACTACTTCAGAGTGGGGTATGGTTGGACAGGAAGCCTGTGGAAGGCTCCTAAAAGCAGGAAGGACTGTTTGAAGAGTCCAGAATCTGAAAACTTAAAGAAAAGCATAGTAGCCATAGAGTTGAAGTGGATGGCAGGCCTCTGGACCAGAGAGCTCTCAATGGTAGGCTCTGTGTTTTCTGTATCACAGTCTTGCCTCTGGCATTTACAGAAATATCCTCCTGTTAGTCTTGTCAGAAGGTGACAGACTCTTTTGATTCTTTCAAGACTTGCTTGGCCTTGGCCTAGGCCAGCTTGGCTAAGAACACCTGAGCATTTCAGCAGGAAGATGAGATGGGCAGGAGGCAGAGCACCAGTGCTACCTGGGCCAGGACCAGCAACATGATTCGCAGGTGTAGCCACTAAGCTGGGCTCCCCTGCAATGGAATGGGCCGGGTCTGGCAAAGACTACTCAGTTCTCTGTCTTTATGTTGGTGTCTCAGTGTTTTCTTGTTTTGACTGTGAGTGACAGTTTTAGATTTATAATTTATCTGTGATAGACAGAGGTTTCTGAGCTTTCAGAAGTCTAGTGTTTTTGTTCAGGCTTTTAGATGGGAAGCTGAAAGCATAGAGCACCATGGAGGTGAGGGAAGCATTGCCACATGGAACCATCCTGTCCCCGAGCCATCAGCCCACAGTAGTCCTCCGGGCGGTCCCGACCCCAGCCTCCCAGAGTGGGGGACCTGAAAAAGTTTGCTGCATGTTAGGATGTGAAGGTCAGATCTGCTCTGTCAACCATGCCCAGCATGGGTGGCTGCGCTCTGGTTGCATTTCTCAAGCTTGGGTAGTTCGCTATCTCCCTGGATTCTTTCCATTGAGATGCGTGACTTGATTGCTGAACCAGGAAGTTTTCTAATAAATTGCACTTGAGTAGTCTTTTTGGTTGTTTTGCCTTTTAACAGTACTGGAGTTTGAATTCAGGGTCTCACACTTGCTAGGCAGGTGCTCTACCAGTTGAGCGGTGCCTCCAGCCCTAAGTAGAAACTTTTAGGAAGGGGAAGTGACAGGTTTCTGTGAGCCTTCTGGGGAGCAAGGTGGCACATAGCCTGGGTGGGTCATACTTTGCTTACATTTGACCTGTAATGCCATGCCCTTTCTTTTTCTATTTGTTTTTTTCTTGTAGTACTGGGGGATTGAACCTAGGGCCTTGCACATGTCAGGCAAACACTCCACCTCGCCATCATGCCCCCAACCCTTTAGTTTGTGTTTTGTTGTGGAGATAAGGTCTCACTAACTTTGCCTGCGCTGACCTGGAACTCTCGATCCTCCTGCGCCTCCCAAAAAGCTGGGATTACGGGCATGTAGCATTGCACCCACCTTCACCCCTTTCTTTACCCTTTCTTACCATCTGCTAAGTAACTGTGCTTTCAGGGAGCCGACAGTGTGCTTAAAATTCAAATTTAAATATAATCTTACCTTGTTTTTTCTGCTTCCAAGTCTCTGCTTTCAGCCTCTGCTTGGGGAGCTGTTTGCTCATGAGGGCAAGCTACCCTGAGAATAGTGTAATGGAAAAGCTCGTGAATGGCTCTGTTTAATGTCTTTTTCTTTTCTTTTCTTTCTTTCTTTCTTTTTTTTTTTTTGTGGTCGGGGGGACAAACCGAGAGCTGCATGCTAGGCAAATACTCAGTCTCTGAGCTACATCCCCAGACCCTATTCTGTGTCATTTCTTTTTTTCTTTTTTTTTTTTTTATTTAATTTATTTATTTTTGGCAGTACTGGGGTTTGAACTCAGGGCCTCATGCATTCTAGACAGACACTCTACTGCATGAGCCACTCCACAAGCCCCATTCTTTGTTTTTTTATTTTATTTTATTGTTTTATTATTCATATGTGCATACAACGCTTGGGTCATTTCTCCCCCCGTCCCCACCCCCTTCCTTACCACCCACTCCGCCCTCTCCCTCTCCCCCCCCACCCCCTCGCTACCAGGCAGAAACTATTTTGCCCTTATCTCTTAATTTTGTTGAAGAGAAAGTATAAGCAATAATAGGAAGGAACAAGGGTTTTTGCTAGTTGAGATAAGGATAGCTATACAGGGACTGTGTCATTTCTTAAAACAGTTTTGCACTCAGAGGAGAGTGACAAAGGTAGCCCCAAATGTTTTTCCTCACTGTTCCTAGCCTCTCTGGTGTCAGGGACTCACATCACCTGGTGCTTTGTCCAAACTGGCGTTGGTGCAGTACTAGTCCATTTAACTATGTACATTTTTTTTTCAACATGAAAACATCATGTGCATTTGCTTTGACATCTCCCCTTTTTAAAAATGTTCAAACACATTGTTCAGAGAAATGAAAAGGACTGGACCCCTGAGTCACAAAGAAGGGGCAACAGAGGAGATGCCTGTTCTGCCAGTTTCACATCCGTGAGGCTAATGCACCAGAAGGGCATTACAGGCTGGACCCTGCTTCCCAGAGCCCCTGAGGGGAGTGGCAGGCAGGTGCTGCCAAAGGGCAGACTGTGACACCTGAGCAGGTCTGTTAGCTCCAGATCTCGCTTCCCACCTGGAATTGAAGGAGCCCAGCTCTGTCCCAGAAGCCATTTCTAGCTCTGATACATGAAGCCGTCAGGGCCCAAGTCCGTGTTGGGATCAGGCCACTTCCTTCACTAGTGACCTTTCTTAGTGAGCAGGGTGGTTTGTGGGTCAGTGTTTGAAACAGAGTCCCTGGGAAACCTTGGAGGCTTCAGTGCGTCTCTCATTCTGTGAGCCTTGTGACACTGGTCTTAAAGTCCGCCAGGCAGTGTGTGTACCAACCAGGTGACCATGCAGGCCCTGCAGTGTCAGCAGGTCATGTCAGAGCATGGTGGCTCCTGGACCTCACCTTTGCCCTGAGTTTGTCCAGCCCATGACTGACTCCATGCCTGGCTGCTGGCATCTTGGGCACATGTGTAAAGGAGGAATGTGCACACTGTGCATAAAGTCAATAACTTTTCCTTCAGTCTTGGGCCACACCTGCATCCGGGTTGAGAGTGTCAGAGTCTGTCCTGCTGTTCTTGTCTGCCAAGACCAGGAAGTGCGGGACTGAAGGGGCTGACAATGAAGCCAGATCACAACCATTGTCTGCTCCTCCCTCAGGGTTGTGGGCTGCCTTTTTAGGCTGGGCAGCCAAGCCCCCGGCACCTCTTTTTGTAAGTGATGTCAATTGGAGCAGAGGCAGAGTTTGGGACCCCTTGACCCCTGGGGAAGGCAGAGCCCGTGGCCTGCAAAGCCGCAGACAGTTAGTGACTTTGTCATCCTCCTTGGACACACAGTTCAGAGCAAAAACAGTTCCTGTCTCCCCTCCCCTCACATTTCTTCCAAGTGGAAGGTGCTGGGGTGCATGTTAGGGTCAGCCCCTGCAGGGCCTCTGTATGGGTGTGATCACAGGAGGCCATTGCTTGGTTGTGGCAAAGCACATGCCCCTGGAAGGCCAGGTTGCTCTTCACCTGGTGTCTTAAGTTGGGAGGGTTCTGTGGGCTTGAAGGTGACCAGATGAGAATGGTTGGTGCTGGTGTTGCCAGGCGTGGTTTCTTGATGGCTGCACTGGGCTTTACTCTGGCAGTTGGAGGTGGGGTGGGTGCAGCCTCACCACCTCTGGCGGGACATGAACCATCATTGGCATAAGCCACAGCACATTGTACCATGCAGGGTGGGTTTGGCCAGAGTGACAGTGACCCTGCCCCAGAGATACAGGAATGATCTGCTCTCTGACGAGGTCGCTTAGGTCATTGAGACTGGCAGGGCTGGTCACACAGTCGTGGAGCAGTTCCACTGCTGGGGTAGGGGTTTGGGCTGGGGAGTTGGGCCTGATCTGTGTGGCCTTGCTGGCCTGCTGTGTGTGACTCCAGGTGTCTCCCTGACTGTCCCTACTCCTGGCTTCTTCTCCCTAGGCTGGCGCCCATGCGGCTCTACACACTCTCCAAGCGCCACTTTGTCCTTGTGTTTGTCGTTTTCTTCTTCTGTTTTGGCCTGACTGTCTTCGTTGGAATCAGAGGTAAGTTCAGGTTTTCATTTTGGTTTTTGGTGGTACTGGGATTTGAACTCAGGGCCTTTGAACTCAGCTTGCCAGGTAGGTGCTTTACCACTTAAGCCATGTTCCCAGCCCTTTTTGCTTGGGATTATTTTTCAGATAGGGGCTCCAGTTTTTGCCTGGGGCTGGCCTCAGATCAAGATCTTCTGACCCATGCAATATAGTTGGAGTAACAAGTGTGTACCAGCATTCCAGGCTTCTTGTTTGATTTTGGTTTTTTCTTTTCTCCTTCCTTTTATTTTATTGTTTTTATATTTTCTTACATGTGTATACATTCTTTGTATCTCCCCCCCATTTCTTCTCCAATTATGTCGAAGAGAAAACATAAGAGATGATAAGAAAGACATAGCATTTTTGCTAGTTTGGGATAAAGATACTATACAGAGAGATTCCTAGTGTTGCTTCCATGCACTTGTGTATTACAACCCATATTGGTCCATCTCTACCAGACCTCTTCACTACTTCCTAGTCCCTGTTTCATAGTGGCCTTGGCCAGTTTAAGATTACTTTATTCGCTCCTCAACAGGGAGTACGTCAACCACATTCAAGTTTTAGGTTTCCTTTCCTTTCCCTGTTTCTCCTGTGCATGTTCTCCCCTTTGTGTGTGACCCAAGTCCAGTAGTATTACTGCATTTGTTTTAGATCTATAATCTGCAAATGAGGGAGACATACTATTTCTGGCCTTCTGAGCCTGGCTAACTTTGCTTAAGATGATGTTCTCCAGTTCCATCCATTTACTTGCAAATGATAAAATTTCATTCTTCTTTGTGGCTGAGTAAAATTCTGTTGTGTATAAATACCACATTTTCGTGATCCATTCATCAGTAGTGGGGCATCTTGGCTGTTTCCATATCTTAGCCATTGTAAATAGTGCTGCAATAAACATGGGTGTGCAGGTGTTTTTGTAATAACTTGAGTCGAATTCCTTTGGGTATATCCCTAGGAGCGGTGTTGCTGGATCATATGGCAGATATCTGGTTAGTTTTTTAAGGAGCCTCCATATTGTTTTCCATAGTGCTTGTACTAGTTTACATTCCCACCAGCAGTGTATGAGGGTTCCTATTTTCCCGCATCCTTGCCAGCATTTGTTGTTGGTAGTATTCTTGATGATAGCTGTTCTAACGGGTGAGGTGGAATTTTAGTGTGGTTTGGGCAGGGATGGTGAGCATTTTTTCATGTGTTTTTTTGGGCATTTGGATTTCTTCCTTAGAAAAAGTTTTGTTTAGTTCAGTTGCCCACTTCTTTATTGGTTCATTGATTTTTGGAAAGTTTAGTTTTTTGAGCTCTCTGTATATTCTGGTTATCAGTTCTCTATCTTTATCTAATGTAGAGCTAGCAAATATTTTCTCCCACTCTGTGGGTGGTCTCTTCAATTTAGAGACCATTTCTTTTTTGCAGAAGCTTTTTAATTTCATGTGGTCCTATTTGTCCATCCTTTCTCTTAGTTGCTGGGCTGCTGGAGTTCTATAGAGGACATCCTTACCTATTCCTATTGTTTCCAGGGTTTTCCCTGATCTTTCCTGTACTAACTGCTAAGTTTCGAGTCTGATATTAAGATCCTTAATCTACTTTGAGTTGGTACTAGTAAGGGTGTCAGGCATGGATCTAGATTCAGTTTTCTGCAGGCAGATAGCCACTTTTCCCAGCAACATTTGTTGAATAGGCTGTCTTTTCTCCATTGTATGTTTTTGGCACCTTTGTCGGCACCTTTGTCAAAAATTAGGTGGGCATAGCTGTGTGGATTCATATCTGGGTGCTCTATTCTGTTCCACTGGTCTTCATATCTGTTTTTGTGACAGTACCGTGCTGTTTTTATTGCTATGGCTCTGTAATATAGTTTGAAGTTGATTTTGTGAAACCTCCAGCATTGCTCTTTTTGTTCAGTATTGCCTTGGCTATTTGCAGTCTTTTGTGTTTCCAAATGAACTTTAGGGTAGATTTTTCAGCCTTTGTGATGAATGTCATTGGAATTTTGATGCATATTGCATTGAACATGGAGATTGCTTTTGGTAGTATACAGGCTTGTTTGTTGAAATGGAGTTGTCTTGCTAACTTTTTTGCCCAGGCTGGCCTTGAACCATGATCTTTCCAGTCTCCATCTCCAGAGTAACTGGGATTACAGGCATGGGCCACTTCACCTGGCCTTAAGTTTAGTTTTTAATCATTTCTCCATTTACAGCCACCTTGTTGTGTTGCTTCTCAGCCAGCCCAATGTACCTTCTTGTTCCCACTGAGGGCCCAGTGTGGAGGGAGTCTGCAACTTTTCCCTGAGCCCACAGAGCAGAACAGTGTCTGGCCCTGCACCTCTGCTTCTCCTGGAGATGTGCAATGCGCAATCAGGTGGTGCTAGAAGTACGCACCACTATACCTGGCCAACAAACATTTCTAGCGAGTCTGTGTGCTGGGGAATCTAGAGCTTGCCGTCTGAGAGGGAGACCGGCCGTGTAAAGGCCTTTATGTGGTGAATGGGGCTCAAGCTGACATTGTGGGGGGCAGAAGAGCGGGGAGGTTGCTCTGGTAACATCCTAAGCTCCAGGCCTGAAAGAAGAGTTCTGGGTAGTAGCATGGTCTTCCCTGCTGGGAGACTGGGCGTCTTCTTGTGCCCTTGTTTTCAGGGCATCTGCTGCTTCCCAGCAGTTGTTTGAAGGAAAAGAGCCACACCATAATGATTTAGGCTTAGCAAACGCCTTTGAAATCCTCTGAGCAAGCTAACCTCTTTTCCTACAGACTGAAAACAACCACTAAAGCTGAGTGGTTTTCACAGGGCCTCCAGAAACCTGTCTCATCAGTCCTATTCAAAGGGTGGGCAACAGGAACCTGCATGGGTGGGAGAGTGGCAATTGCTGTTCCCTTCATTCTCTCCTTTTAAGTAAAACATCTTTCCCATTGATGGTAGTTGCTGGGAGCTGTTGATTTAATTGGTGCACTGAACACCAACACAGAATGACATTGAGGCTTATTGCAATCAGAGGCATTTGTGCCTCAGAAGACTGTTTTTTTTTTTTTTTTCTTTTCCAAGTATACTGGGAAAGTTTATTCAGATAGAAAAGTGTAAAGTGGGAGAGTACAGCCCTCAGAGTTAGGGGGGTCCTAAAAGAGGGTGCCCCCAGAAGACTGGTTTCCTAACCTAAACTAAAATAAGGGATGATGAGTGGACTGAGGGGGCTGTGAGAGAGGGTGGCCATTTGGATGCTACTTACCTGATGAAGATGAGATGATGGTGATGACAGTAGCATCCATCTATAGTCAACTTCTTTTCCTTCTGTTTAGTTGCCAAGGAATAAAAATTATATTAGTCACACTAAAAGATATCTCCATTATTTTCCTTGCTTTTCATGACTGCCCCTTCAGATTGGTGGGGGAGACATTAATATGCCGTGGTCTCAGTGGGACCCCAGCCAGCTTTTGTTTCCTTAAGCCACTGTGCCTGAAACATTCCTGATTGCATCCGGCCTTCTCCACTTGGAAATGAAGGGCAGAAATGAGAAGTGATGCCCTGAGCCTGAGGCAGGAAAAATGATGTCAGGATCAGTTATGTGTGTGTGTGTGCATGTGTGTGTGTGTGTGTGTGTTATTACTATATTATAGTTATACTTATTTATTATAAATAATATGAATAAAATATAATAATGTAAATGTATACCTATAATACAATTAGTTATAATTAATATAAATATGTTACAATTATAAAATTATAGATAAATGTCATATTATATAATACAGGATATATTATATAATATAATCTTAACTATATTGTTATATAACATGGCCTACATTTTATATACATACACATGCATGCACACATACAACACATATATAAAATGTATGCATATATAATATATAGTGCACATATATTATGCATATATTATATATATGCTTTATATATATAATATATATACACACACATATATATAATACACACACACACACACACACATATAAAATAAGGACCTGGCTCACACGATTCTGGAGGCTGAGAAGTCCTGAGGTCGTAGTCAGCAGGCTAGAGACCCAGGAGTGTTGATGGGGCAGGTCTAGTCTGAGTCCAAAGGCCTGAGAACCAGGAGAACTGATGCTGTAAGTTCCAGTTCAAGTCTGACTCCAAAGGTAGGAGAAGAATAATGTCCCAGCTCAAAGACAGAGAGGCCCCAAGAGAGAGTATATTCTCCCTTAGCCTTTTCTCCCTTTGGCCTTCAGCAGATTTGATGAGGCCCACCCACACCAGGGAGGTCAATCTGCAGTTTACTATGGTTCAAATCAGAAATTGCTCTCAGACACAACAGATGTTTAACCCAATGGCTAGGCACAGGCACCCTGTGGTGCTATCACATTAATACATAAATTGGCTATCACAAGTATTCTGTTCCTAACTACTTCATGTGGCAAAGTTGTTATTTCAGTTATGAGTATCTTAGGGACCACTGTGTTATCACCCTCATTTTACAAATGTGGAAATAGAGGCCCAGGAAACCTAGTTAACTAAGGCTAGAATCCAGGGTCTTCTGATTGCCAGTTGTTAATTCTCTCCAGGAAGCCATACTGCCTGGCTTACTGGTTAGGAGTCCACTCAGATTGTGAATCTGTTTGAAAGAAGTCTGTTCAGAGCCAGCCTCCTCCCTGCATGGAGATAGTCACAGTACTGGTTGAGGTGCCTGCACTGGCATTGCCTATTTGCAGGTGAAGGATTGTTGAGGCAGCCCAGAGAACTGACATCACAAATTGAGAGTTATGTGTTGTAGAACAAACCCTATTCTAAATTGAATTAAAATTATTTAAGGCCAAAGCTCTAAAGGATTACAGTGAGAATAATAAGCATCTGAAGCCTGGGAAGATGGTGGAGTAGGAAAGAATCTGTCTCCCCACCTAGACAACAATTGCAGTGGCAGAATCTGATGGAACTTTGGAACTCTGAAGTCTGTTGAAGGCTTGTAACTTCCGTAGCATGTGTAGCGTTAAACTGTGGCTAGTTTCAGTCAGTGCAGCTCCTAATACAGTAGCAGACACTTGCCATCAACCCTAGTTCAAAAGCAGGCATCTGTGGTCACGTTCTGGAACCAGCTTGTGTATAGCTTGTGGGAGCCAGTGTGGGCCAAAAGAACCCTGTCTTCCTAATACTGGGATCTGTGCTCTGTTCATTGATCACTGCACTGATCGCAGAGGTACAATGAGGTGGGCATTCATTGTTGCACTCCCCTCCCCCATTGTTGTAGGCCTATACCTTCTAGCTGAACTAACTTTCAGGGAATTTAAAGAGCTAGTGCTTCTCTTCCTGCCTGCTTCATTTTTCTCTTTTTCTCCTTTTGGGAACAAGACACTGAAATATACTTCATATACAGGAGAAATTAGGAAGTCAGTACACTTGTCCTGAGGAAGGCACAGACTCAGAAAAGACCCAAGAAGACCTGGAGTTTACACCTCAGTCTTACCCTTGGCACAGAAATAGTCACAAAAGTGAACAAACAAAGACTAAAAACCCCGGGGAAGGGACTGCCAGAGAGGGGAAGAGTGGTCTCCCTAGCAGGCATGAGGCCCTGAATTCAAACCCCAGTACTGCCACAAAACAAAATAAAAACTTGGGGAAGGGGAAAAATCTAATTTTTAGGGGCATCTCATTATTATATTTCAGAGGTTTTCAACAAAAAAAATTACAAGGCATACAAAGAAATGTAAACTGTGACCCACTGGAAGGAAAAACAACAACAGAATGTATCCCTAAGTCCATATGGCAGATCTGTAGACAAAGACTAAGACAAGTGTCTTAAAGATGCTCAAAGAACTAAAGGAAGACATGGGGAAAGTCCAGAGAACAATGTGGGAACACAATGGAAATATCAGGAAAGAGGGAGAAAACCTAAAAAAAAGAAACCAAAAAGAAATTCTGGAGCTGAAAAGTATGATAACTGAAATGAAAAATTCACTAAAGGGATTCAAAGGCAGATTTGAAAGGCAGAGGAAAGAAGAGGAGACAGTGGAAAATTTTGAATCTGAGGAATAAAAAGGAAAACAATGGAAGATAAGTGAACAGAGCCATAGGGATCTTTCAGATGCCATCGGGTGGACCAACATATGCATTGTGGGAGTCTCAGAAAGAGAAGAGAGAACGTTTAGCTGAAAACTTCCCAGATTTGATGAAAAATGTACATATAAACGTTTTGGAAGCTCCATGAACCCAAAGGGGACTGAATTTAGAGAACCACACAGAGACACAGTGTAATCAAATGATCGGAGCCAAAACCAGAGAGACTCTTGGAGCAGCAAGAGAAAGACTAATCACACACTGGAGAGCCCCAGAAAGCTTGTTAGTAGTTATCTCATCAGAAACTTTGGCAGTCAGAAAACAGTAGACTGATAGTTTTAAAGTGTTAAAAAGAGCTGTCAATCAATAGTGCTATATCTGGCAAAACTGTCCTTCCTTTGAAGGACTTTTGTGAGGGAGAGCTGGGTGTGGTGGCTCACACCTGTAATCCTAGCTACGTGGAAAGCTGAGATGAGAAGGATCAGGGTTCCAGGCTAGTCTGGGCAAAAAAGTTTGTAAACCCCATCTTAACAGAAAAAACTGGGCTTAGTGGCATGCATCTGTCATCCCAGTGATGGCAAGAAGCATAAATAGGAGGATGGTGGTGCGGTCAGCCCATGCACAAAACAAGACCCATCTCCAAAATAATCAGACCCCAAAGGGCTAGCAGTGTGGCTCAAGCAGTAGAGACTCTGCCTAATAAGTGTGAAGTCCTGAGTTCAAACCCCAGTCCTGTCCAAAAAAAGGGAGAAGACTGGGTGTGGTGGGTGCACATGTGTAATCCCAGCACTTGGGAGGCTGAGGCAGGAGAACTGTGTTTGAGGTCACATGGTGAGACCCTGTTTCAAACAAACAAAAAAAAATGAGGGAAAACTGAAGACATTCCCATGTAAACTGAAGCTAAGGGAGTTGTTACCACTGCCCCTGCTCTGCAAGGATTGTGAAGAGAAGCCTGTCGATTGAAATGAAAGGGCACTAGATAGTAACTCGAAGCCATGTAATCCGAGTAAAGGTGACTGTGTGAGTAATGATGAAGCTCATGTTACTCTCACATTAGTGGGCAACTCCACTTTGTGTCTTCTGTGTAATTTAAGAGACTAACCAATTATTAAAGCTAGTATTGTAACTTTGGTTTGTAATTCCATGCTTTGTTTTCTATATAACTTAAGATACTAAAAATTATTTAATGGTTTTGGATATAAAGTAATAATATATAAAGACTGGGAACGTAGCTTAATGATAGAACACTTGCTTGGCTCATTTTTATGAGGTCCTGGGTTTGTTCCTTGGCACCGCCCCTCCCCCAACACACAGTTGTGATATCAACAACTAAAAGAGGTGAGGGCAGAGCTGTTAAAGGAGCAGAGGTTTTGCACATTATTGATGTTAAGTGGTATAAATTCCATTTAGAATATTACAACTTTTGGATGTTACATGAGGGACAGAAAGGTTATGAGGCATATAAGAAACAAATGCACAGGAAACCAAGACACAGAAAACAAAATGTCAGAAGCAGTCCCTTCCTAATCAGTAAATAAATATAGATGAACTAAACTTTCCCATCAAAAGGCAGAAGTGGGCAGAGTGGATTTTTAAAAAACTTGATCCAGACTATATTTTGTCTACAGGAGACAATACTTTGTTTTTTATTTTATTTCTGGGAGTACTGGATTTTGTATTCAGGGCCTTGCACTTGCTAAGCAAGCATTCTACTACTGGAGCCACATAACCCTAACCTCCGCCCGGGAGATTCACTTTAGATCCTGAGACACAGACAGATTGAAGAAAAGAATGTTCTATGCAAATAATACCACATGATTCACTACTTCTACTTCTGAGTGTGTATTCAGAAGGCCTGAAGGCAAGGTCTGGAAGGATATTTGTACACTCATGTTCACAGCAGCATTGTTCACAGTTGCTAGAATTGTGGAATCAACTTAAATGTGCATTGGAAGATGAATGGATGAACAAGTGTGGTGTGTGCTCCAAATGGAGTGTTATTCAGTGTCAAAAGTAAGGTGATTTAGACACATTCAACATGGATGGATCCTGAGAACATTATACTAAGTGAAACAAGCCAGCCATATAAAAACAAATGCTGCGAGCTGAGTGCGGGTGGCCCACACCTGTAATCCTAGCTACTCAGGAGGCAGAGATCAGGAGGGTTGCAGTTCAAAGCCAGCCCAGGCAAATAGTTTACAGGACCCTATCTCAAAAAAAAAAAAAAAAAAAAAATCACAAAAAGGGCTGGTGGAGTGGTTCAAGGTGAAGGCCCTGAGTTCAAGCCCCAGTTCCGCAAAAACAAAAAACAAATGCTGTGTGACACCACCGTAAATAGAGAAGTCAGAATCAGAGAGCTAGAAAGGAGGATGGTGGTTGCAGGGCACGAGGGGAGGTGGAGTGGAGGCTGTTTGGTACAAGGGTAGAGTGTATTTAATTGTACGTGAGAATTTTACCACGGTAGTAAAATGGAGAATCATTACTAAGTGGATGTGCTTGTTATCGCAGAAGGTCGTACTCTTATGCTCGTACTAGTATATGTGATTTCTTCTTGTTTTTTTTTTTTTTTTTTTTGGTGATGCTGGGGTTTGAACTGAAGGCCTCATGCTTGCTAGGCAGGCACTCTACCACTTGAGCCACTCCGCCTGCCTAGTATATGTGGTTTCTTTTTGAGACAGAGTCTCACTCACTACACATCCAAGGCTGGCTTGGAACTTGCTGTGTCACTCAATTGTCCTGCCTCAGCCTCCCACATGCTGGGATTATAGGCATGAACCACTGCACCTAAACTCATGGTTTATAAAATACATAATGAATGTATAGTAAATGTTTTCTTGGGGCCATGCACTGTACAGAAAGCCTCATTGAGAGCATTAAGAGCGTTTGATTTCCCATGGAAATCCCACTCGTTACCTGTGGGTCATTTTGCCTTAACTTGCTTAGGGAATTTGTACTGTACTGTAAGAGTGGCTCTTTTGTGTCCATTATTGGTGTGTTTTGCCTACATATATAAAATCTCTGAAAGACTGGGTAAGGGCCAAGTGCAGTGACTCATGCCTGTAATCCTTGCTACTTGGAAGGTGGAGATTGGGAGGATTGCGGTTCTATGCTAGCCTAGGCAAGAAGTTTACAAGACCCCATCTTAAACAATGGCTGGGTATAGTGGTGTGCACTTTTCATTCCGGCCTTGCAGGGAAGCACAAATAGGAGGATGTAGTTCAGGCTAGCCTGGTCATGAAGCAAGACCCTGTCTCCAAAAAAAAACCCACAAAAGTTGGTGTGGCTTAAGTGGTAGAGCCACTTGTCTAGTGAGTGCAGGGCCGTTAGTTCAACCTCCAATACTGCCAAAAAAAAGAAAAAAAGAAGAAGAAAGACCAGGTAAGATCATTTCTGTATAATGGATGAGTTTTTCTTGGCATTTGAAGAAGAAAAACCTGTCAATTATCAATGTAGATAAAACCTGTTTTTCCCCTTCTTTGTTACACTTTTAGGACCCAAAGTGATCCAGACTACTACAGCTAATTTTTCACTAAATAATAGCAAAAAGGTAAGACCGGCTAGAAGTGACTCGTGAGTCACTGAGAAACAGTCCTGCTTCGAGGAAGGGCTTCGAGGATGGACTGCCCTGCTCTGCAGCTGGCGCCTCAGGAACACATTTCTATTTCACAGCTGGCTGCTGGCCTCTGCATACTGCCTGCTAAAATGGTCCAAGTGCCTCAGTGTCAGGAAGTAGGGTAGTGGTACATCTTGGGAAGCAGCCACTCAATTCTAAAGGGTGATTAACTCATTCTGGTTCCTCATGTCCGTGAATCCTACTAGATTGTAAGTTTTAAGAGTGATTACTCAGGTGTCTGACCCTTTCTTGCAAGTTAGGACTTGCTCCCTATGTCAGGCTTCTAACAGTAAGTAGTTCTTTTTATTGATTATTTGGTATTCCTTGCATGAGTTTGCTTTTTTTTTTTTTTATGAGTTTGGTTTAAATGAAACTCCCTTTTTCCCTTTGACATGTGCCTTGATTCTTCAGTCTCTTTAGAGGAAATGGAGGTCCTTTCAATTGGAGAATTTTGGTTTTGTGTAGTAAATGTTAACTTGTGAGAGCCTAAACAACACACCATTTATTTTTCTGTGTGTCACACATAATCCTTGTCTATAAGCTAAATCCAGTTGAGTCCTAATTTTCATGATACCATAGTATGTATGGTTTAAATCTCATTGCTTCACCCCAAGTCCCTCCTTCTCTCTGTTCTCCCACTTCCCTGCTAGGTCTACCTGTATAATTTTCCAAAATGGGCAAAAGAAAAAAAAATGTCCTAAAACATGCACTTTTTGATGTTGCTTCTTTTCTTTTTGGGGGACAGAGGGACATTGGTGCTGGGGTTTGAACTTAGGGCCTCACTCTGGCTGGACAGGTGCGGTACCACATGAGCCACACCCCCAGCCCTTGCTTCTTGTTGCTATTGCTGATTTGAAATGTCCTCTATTTAGTCTGTCTTCACATTTCCTTTACGTTGTCTTTAACTCTTGGGCTGATGGTGTGATTTGGAGAGGTGCCACAATGGAGTTTCCCGAGAGTAGTTGATAATAGAATTTCTGTCTCTTGGGGTTTAAGTCTTTTTTTGACACTGAAAACAGCAGTTATTCCACTGAACTAACTTGCTTCAGAGAGACCATCCTTACTTCAGAAAGATGGTATCACATTCTCTTATTCTCAGGAATGATAGGTTTCATTCCTGAGTGGCTTTCAGGCAAGTCTGTGGTCCCAGGAAGTTCTGTTGAGACTCTGACACGCAAAGCCAATAACGTTCGCTTGCAAAGATGATGCCTTCAAATAATGCTTTTCTTTAAGGTGTGAGAGGGCTCCTTACAACTCTTACCTACTGCTGTAGGGCACCAATATGCTGTTTTTCCGAGGACACTGCAGAAGAATTGCAAAATCGTCCTCTAATTTTTCTTTCTGGGGACCCTAAGACTTTACTAAAGCTAAGAATCACAGACATCAAACAGGGCCACGTCTGACTTACTGATGCTAGAGAAGTAATTATTGAGACCATTATCTTGTGAATACAAAAGCATGTCTGGTCTTCTTTATTTTTTTATGTGTCATTTTTTTCTCCTAGATGGCCTTTTCTTGGTAGTTAAGTAAATGCATGGTCCCAAAAGCCCCAGGTGGTGGGAATCGCCTGCTGGGAAGTTTTAATGACACAAAAGCGACTTGCAGCTAGAAATTGGGCCTTTCTTCTGGAAATCAGAATCTCACTATGTTGTTGAAAGGACAACTACATATGCTTCTGTTTCAGAGCCAGTGTTTCAGCCTTTTTTGCTACATGTAAATTTTGTATGTTAAGATGAGGTATTTGGTAAACTCAATGAAACGGTCACATGAATTACTGTTTTTTTTTTTTTTCTTTTACTTCAGCTGAAGCCAATTCAAATACGTTCAAATCCACTATCTACGTATAACCAGCAGCTATGGCTGACATGTGTTGTTGAGTTGGATCGATCAGAAGGTATGCAGTCTGACACTTTGGGATGATTTTTCTAGTACAAACTCATATTTAAGAGGGTGAAGGAACCTTAAACTATTTGGATGAGAGCTATAAAATAGTAGTGGAAGGATGTCCATCATTAGTAATAGCAAAAATTGGAGCACCCTAAGTGTCTCCTGGTGGAAGGAAGAGTTACGATGCATCTCTGTGGGGCAGCTGGCCAGTGGGGTCTGCGAAGTATTACGTGTTCTTCCCAGGACACTTGGTAATGTCTGGAGACAATTTGATTGTCACACTAGGGGGAGGAGTATTACTAGGATCATGGGTAGAGGCTAGAGATCCTACTAGACATCTCACAAACACACAGAGATGCCTTCAACAAGGAATTATCCAGCCCGAATGTCAGTGCTATGAGGCTGAGAAACCCTGCCCTAAGGCATCCTGTTATGATGATTAGAGTCTGTTTATCAAAAAAGGCACTTTTTCCTATCTAATTCCAGCTACTTAGGAGCAGAGCTCAGGAGGATCACAGTTATGAGCCAGCCAGGCAAAAAGTTAGGAAGACTGTCTCAACAAAAAAGCTGGCATGAGTTCCTGCCTGAACTCCAGTTACTTGGGAGATATAGGTAGAAGACCCAAAATCTTGTGGCCTCCCCAGCAAAAAACAGATCTCTATCTGAAAAATAAAACTAAGAGTGCTTAAGTAGGAGTTACCTATCTGCAGTGGCAGGATTGGTTAGTGCCATCTTTACATTTTTGTTTTCTTTAATGACTCAATATCACCAATAAAAAAGAAAAAATATAATTTTATATCACTATGTATTTGTATGTTTAGAAAATAGTCTGGAAGAATGGATCCAAATGTGTGTAATTATGGTACCTTCTGCAGTGGCAGGATTGGTTAGTGCCATCTTTACATTTTTGGTTTTCTTTAATGATGAGAATAGAATTAAAATAATTATAATCAGAAAAATAGAAATTATTTCTATTTGATGAAATTCAATAAAGAATTTATGTAGGAAATTTAAAAATTCCATTAGTCTGAAGTAGGCCCTTTGGTGTAGTATGTGCGATGGGTTTGAGAGCAGGTTAGCACAGGCCTCTCTGGCAGGTGGAGTAGCAGCAGATGGAAGGCTGCCCTTTGCTCGGCAGTGTCAGCTTCTAAGCTAAGCAGAGGTTCTGTGGCTGTGGGGGGTCCTGGGCTGTGCGTTCTGCTTCCAAGGCGGTGGCACAGTGTGCAGGCACCTTTCCCAGTGGGAGGCACTCAGGGTGGGCTCTAATACCAATTTCTTTCTTTGTAGAAACTTCTATTCAGACCAGTTTTTCCATGACTGTTAAAGTGAACGTGTGGCTCATGATGGAACACGATGTACATTCACAATTAAGGTTCACAATCGAACGAGGACCTCACGTGTGCAGGGGTGAGTGTGCATGTGATGATGTAGTGTCATCACTACATACGTTTTCACAGACCTGCTTCTCTATCATAGGAGCAGGCCCAGCGGAGGCTTCAAAAAGTTAAAAAAAAAAAAATGGAGTAATGCCAAAGAGACATGGAAGACTCACCTAACTTACTTGCTGCTGCCCTTAGAAATTCTGTTGATGTCACATGTACGCACACACATGTACATGCACAAACACAGAACGCATGCCCTCTGTGTACAAATGCACACTCACCCTGCCCCACTCCCAGCACACATGCTAGCTACCTGCTTGACTGCTCGAGTAGTTAACTCATTGCCTGGTGTCTGTAGTGAATGTGAAGGCCCACCTCCCCTTTTGTGTGTGTGTGTGGACTGGGGTTTGTACTCAGGGCCTGTGCTTATTAAGCAGGCACATCACCACTTGAGCCACACCTCCTGCCCAAGGGTCACCTCCTTGAGGAAGGTTTGCCACTCTTCTGTGGTCTGTTCCCATCACGGGGGGCTTTGTTTCTGTTGTGTGTTGAATGCCCTGATCCATCTAGATAGATGTGGGGGCCAGAGTACCAGGCCTCTCAGGGTCAGGAGCCTTCTTTTTTGGGATCTACTTCAGAGTGTGTTGTATGACTATGGATAGGACAGCTGAGGGCCGGAGTGGGAAATGAGCCCTTACTCCTTTATCCTGGCACTGGATTCTGTCCAGAATCCACAAATTCAGAACCTGATTCTTGGGACAGCAAGGCGCCATGTCAGGACTCAAGAAGTTACTATTGGCATGGGGGACTTAGAGCGTAATAACAAGCAGTGCCTTCGGTTAGAGGGCTAGACACAGGGGTACTGGAGCTGCATCACACATAGTCTGTGTGAGGCATATGTCACTCATGGATCCCCACAGACTAGAAATGCTTATTCGAGCCCTTCTTACACCCGAAGAAATGGAGTTTTATGAGGTCACAACCATTGCCTGTCATGACACGGATGGTAAGTGGAGGGGCAGGGACCTAAGCCCGAGTTCTCTTTTCCTGAAGTTCATGACCTTAACCATGATACATCCTGCCAGAGTTACTGACAGTAAGAAGAGTAGTCTGTCTGTCTTGCAGGAAAGAATTCAAGCAGGAAAGGACTGTGTCTTGGGAAGGCTACCTTCTTGGGTCCTTCTCTGTTGATTGAAATGGGTTGAAACTCTGGCCTGAGGGCACCGAGCTGTTGTAAAGGTGACCTTTGCTGACAGTGTGGCCCTCTGTAGCAGAGCAGCCACAGCAGGGAGGGGTGGCATGGAGAGAAGGCACCAGAAGGAATGACCCCCATCCTGCCTCCCTTTCACCTGTGTGAGTCACACACACCACTTTCCAGAATGTGCTTTCCTCATCTATAAAGGCAGATTAAGCCTTCCGTGCTTGTCCTGGGAGCGTGGCGAGGATCAAGGTGAATAACATACTCGAGAGTGTTCCACATGTTCCCACGTCTTGTGTGCAGGAGGTGTTGGGTCAGTTCTGCAGAATGACAGACGGGATGACATGTGAAGGTCCGGGCAGCTGGCCTTCTCGCATCCCAGGCATAAGGAATCTGGGTCCCCCCACCCCCTGCATGTCAGCTCCTGTCCTGCTGCTTCTTGGAAGAGGTGCAGGGTACACAGCTGCTCCCACAGCTGCTGTAACTAGTCGTTGTAGTTTGCCCTGACCAAAGGGTTTCCCAGTACACAGGACTTTCAGTTTTAAAGTCTGGACAAGGCTGGGCATGGTGGCCCAAATCTATAATCCTAGTTACACAGAGGTAGATATTAGGAGGATAATGGTTCAGAGCTAGAAGTTAGTGAGAACCCATCTCAACAAACAATCTGGACATGGTAGGACATGTCTGTAATGCTAGCTACATGGGCGGATTGTGGTCTGAAGCTGGCTTCAGGCAAAAGTGTGAGACCCTGTCCAAAAATAAAGCAAAAAAGGCCTGGGAGTGTGGCTCAAGTGGTAGAATGTCTGCCTAGCAAACCCTGAGTTCAAACCTTAGTATCACAGAAAAACAAAAACAAAAAAACCCAACCAAGCACCAGTGGCTCATGCCTGTAATCCTAGCTACTTGGGAGGCTGAGATCAGGAGGATGTGGTTCAAGGCCAGCCTGGACAAATAGTTTGTGAGACCCCATCTCCAAAATAACCAGAGCAAAATGGACTGGAGGTGTGGCTCAAGCAGTAGTGGACCTGCTTTGCAAGTGTGAAGCCCTGAGTTCAAACCTGAGACCCCCCCCCCCACCAAAAAAAAAAAAAAATCTTACTCAGACAACTTGGTTGTCCCACCTAAATCCTTGTCTTCAGGAAGCACCAGACTGGCTGAGCACTGGGCTGCACCATTGCTCCTAAGAGTACCTTTGAGAGCAGTTCTTGAGAACATCTCTGGTTTCTTCCTGCTCTTGCTAGTGGCACTGCCTCCGTTTACATTGTCACCACTCAGGAAAACATGGAATTTTCATGTTACAGATATTTATCTCCCTCATTATTATTCTATGTAAAGAAAACCCAGCCTCAGCCATAGGTAGCAGGGTTGTCTTGCATCCTGTGGGTATGGAAGAGATGGTCCTTTCAGCAGGTGTGCTGTAGATCAGCCACAGAGCACAGCTCACACCTAGGACCCACAAGTCTCATCAGTTTGCTTGTCCATGCTCTTGAGTGTGCAAGCGTACAAGTCTGAGCTGTAACTTCTAGAATTAAAAACCCCTGAAAGTCGAGATGGCTGCTTCCAAGTGCTTCTCTGCCCCTTAGAAGTGTGTTAGGTGTTGAAGCTATCCACTCCTGCCCCACTGAGTCCTTGGGTGCAGCTGTGACTGAGTTCCCAGCAATGTGGACCACACACACCTGCCTAGAGGGCAAGCCAATTCAAGTGAGGGAAACTATCCAGGTGGAAAGGAAAATAGCTCAGATGGGGTAAAAAAAATAGCAGGTGACTTGTACTACTGATGCGGGAGAGTACAAAGGGATGAGTGGCCACGCAGAGAGCTCCGCCCCTTCAAGGGGCAACCCCGTGTGGCGAGTGCGGTGGTTGCAGTGCAGGCCTGGGTTGCTGTGATACTGCCTCACACTGTGCCAGCCCTGCGTGCTCCTCCCCACCCCCACCGTTTTCCTTTTGTCTCTGGATGAGCAGTACTTGTGGCAGCCCTCCTCACCAGCAGTTGCCCTCTCATCTTTTCCTATGTAAAACCCAGGTTTGTGTTTCTTACCGCACCACAGACACTTGAGACTTGGGAGCCTTTGATAACTGTAGGGCTGACTGCTCTGCTCAAAGCCATAGCGAGAACATGTGCCACCCAGAAAGCCACAGAAATTCTGAGCAGTGGCTGGGCTATTGTGGCACAGGTAGCATGTGTCAGCTTAGATGACGGAGCGATGGTGAGGGTGTGCTGGCCTGTGTTGCAGGCCCATGGCAGGGCTTTGACAGGAAAGACTTGCTGGCTCTGTGAGCCTGGCTCTTAAAGGGCACACATCCATATTCACATCAGAATGAGGACTCAGTCTTGCCACTTCTGAAGGACAGCTAATGGAGGAGACCTGCTCATAGTTCTGAAGGACAAGGGAATGGGCTCTTGGCAAATGGTCAGGCATCACATCCAAACCCACACAAACACAGGGCTCTGTAGGAATGACAGGCTTAAAAGGGAGAGAGAAAATTGTGTTACCCATCTGTGTATGGTTACCATGGTTGCAAACATGTACCAAGAGGACAAGTTAGCCTGCATCACCTATTGGTGTGTCTTAGATGTAGTTTCCTGTGTGTTAGTGCATTTATGGAGATGGCAGGTTTTGTTTTACATGGTTAACTTTTTATGCAGGTGGTAGTATTGTTTTTCAGTCATCCAAAGTAGACTTTGGATTTTAATCACTTTAAATCATATATTGTATTTCCCCAATACCCATTTGGTGTTTTTTCTCTAGGAACTGTTCTTGGCTAGCATCTGACTTTTCTGGGCTTTTGGCAAGTTCTCTGGAAATGAGGAGTTCTGTGTGTCTGTTGTAGAAGTGTGTCACTTATGGGCAATGTGGTGAGAGGGTCTCCTCTCTTGCTTAAAGTAATAGATCTGCCAGATGCCAGTGGCTCACACCTGTAATCCTAGCTACTCAGCGAGGCAGAAATCAGAAGGATCGCTGTTCAAGGCCAGCCCTGGCAAATGGTTCTGAGACCCTATCTTGAAAACATCCAACACAAAAACAGGGTTAGTGGAGTGACTCAAGTGGTAGTGTCTGAGTTAGCCTGGCCCAAAAGACCAAAAATCGTATGTTCTCCCTCATATGTGGACATTAGATCAAGGGCATAACACAAAAGGTGATTGGACTTTGATCACAAGATAAAAGCGAGTGCACACAAGGGAGATATGAGGATAGGTACGACACCCAAAAAACTAAATGGCATTGTTGCCCTCAATGCAGAGAAACTAATGTAGATACTTTAAAATGACAGGGCCAATAGAGAAGGGAACCAGGAACTAGAGAAAAGGTTAGTTCGAGAAGAATTAATTTAGAAGGTAACATATGCACAGGAATCAATGTGAGTCAACTCCCTGTATAGCTATCTTTATCTCAACTAGCAAAAACCCTTGGTCCTTCCTATTATGTTATACTCTCTCTTCAACAAATAGAGATAAGGGCAGAATAGTTTCTGCCGGGTAGCGAGGATTGGGGGAGAGGAAGGGGGCAGAGGAAAGGGAGGGAGCAGGGGAAGTGGGGAGAAATGACCCAAACATTGTATGCACATATGAATAAAAGAAAAAAAAAAGTGGTAATGTCTATCTAGTAAGCATGAGACCCTGACTTCAAACCCCAGTACCACCAAAAAAAGACAGATCTTTCTTGTCTTTACAGAAATGTGCAGAGATTATTGTGGCTCACCTTGGCTACTTGAATTACACACAGTATACGGTGACCGTGGGATTCGAGCACCTAAAGGAACGCATCAAGGAGATGAACTTCACCGTGAGTACACAGCCACTGCGCACCCTTCCGTGACTCCTTTGTTGAGCAGCTGAATTACATCACAACACCTAATAAGGTTGCTTTAAGGTTGGCTTCTAGAAAGCATAGAAACTGGAGAAACCTTAGGTGGTCTGAGATTTAAACTGGTTCCTAGGTGAACTGAGAGGTTGGCGCAGGCTCAGCTTCTTGGACCAGTATTGATACATTGTTCTGACTCTACCCGCAAAGAGTCCTTTAGTGTCTTTCCTATTATTTTTAAAACCTTGGAAACCCAAGCTGTGAATCTGAGAATGGGGTCACCTTTCAGGGTTGTGCTCAGTGCTGCTCAGGTTGCTGGATGGGAACAATGGCTCCCTGACACCCCTCCTCTACCTCCATGTGCTGTCAGAGGACAAATGTAAGAAACCATTTTTCACTGCTGAAGAATTAACCAGCTCCTGGAGGCAGCAGAACCGATTTTATGTTGTTCAAGGTTCACTTACTTCATGTCCCATAGGAGTCTACATCCTCTGTGCCTGCACCTGGTACAAGTAGGTGTTGAAGGATAGATGGGCAAACCCAAAGGGTGGCTTGGTGTGGGAAGTGGGTGCTTTTTCCCATGTCACCTCTCAGAATCACAGGGCAAACCCAGGCTCTGAGAGGACGAAGACAGCTTTGTGATGTCAGGGAACCTTGACACAAAAGCCAGTGCCTCAGATTTCAAAGAAAATGTCTAACACTGGAGTCTTCCCTAGGGGTCTCTTTATTTCCTATTTATTTTACTTTTGAATTTAAAAACACATTTTGGGGATTAAGAATAAACACGAACTGGAGGCATAGCTCAAATGGCAGAGCAGCTGCCTTGCAAGCATGAAGCCCTGAGTTCAAACTCCGGTAGTGCCGGAAAAGAAAAGCAAAAAATAAACACAAAAGCAAAAACTGCACAGCTAGTGCCACAGAATTGTGTCCATGTAGTAGACCCAGAAACATCCTAGGTGGTCTCTCTTATCACGCACCAGCCGTGGCCAGCAGAATCCTGTGGCCTTTCTTCCATGTAGTCCTGCCTTGCTGGACTCTGCATGGCTGGCGCCAGGGCCTGTCTCAGCTTTAGCATTCCTCTTGGGTCAGCTCAAGGGAAGAGACAAAGTCTTCACATGTCCCTGGCACAGTGAGTGCCAGGTGAGCTGTGGGGCTAGACTGGCCCAGAGGACACGCAGGAGATTGTCAGCTGCTGCCGGCCAGTGTGGGGGAAGCCTCGCACCAGGACAGGTGTGGAGTGGGTGTAGCAAGGTGTCAGGGCCCCTGTGTCAGGCATTAGGCTTGCTGCTTTGGACCCGGCTGGAAAGGCAGGGCATGATGTTCTCCTCCCCAGATCCCCATCTTTCTCCCCTCCTTCCTGTTATCTCATATTTTAGAACGAAAATGCTTAATAGTTTTAGCTGCATGCATTGAATAAGGCATTATTTTCTAGCATTAGTTTTTTTTTTAATTGTTTTATTATTCATATGTGCATACAAGGCTTGGGTCATTTCTCCCCCTGCCCCCACCCCCTCCCTTACCACCCACTCTGCCCACTCCTCTGCCCTTCCCCCCTCGATACCAGCAGAAACTACTTTGCCCTTAAAGAGAGAGTATAAGCAATAATAGGAAGGAACAAATGTTTTTGCTAGCTGAGATAAGCATAGCTATACAGGGAGTTGACTCACATTAATTTCCTGTGCATGTGTGTTACCATCTAGGTTAATTCTTTTTGATTTAACCTTTTCTGTAGTTCCTGGTCCCCTTCTCCTGTTGGCTTCAGTTGCTTTTAAGGTATCTGCTTTAGTTTCTCTGTGTTAAGGGCAACAAATGCTAGCTAATTTTTTAGGTGTCTTACATATCCTCATACCTCCCTTGTGTACTCTCACTTTTATCATGTGATCAAAGTCCAATCCCTTCGTTGTTTTTGCCCTTGATCCAATGTCCACATATGAGGGAGAACATACGATTTTTGGTCTTTTGGGCCAGGCTAACCTCACTCAGAATGATGTTCTCCAATTCCATCCATTTACCAGCAAATGATAACATTTCATTCTTCTTCATGGCTGCATAAAATTCCATTGTGTATAAATACCACATTTTCTTGATCCATTCGTCAGTAGTGGGGCATCTTGGCTATTTCCATAACTTGGCTATTGTGAATAGTGCTGCAATAAACATGGGTGTCTAGCATTAGTTTTTTAAAGTGAGTTGATTGTTTATTGCTGGCAGAATGTTAAGATGCCATAACCTCTCTTCAGGGTTTTCTTTCTTAAGAGTTCCACTCTCTTGCTGGGCCTGGTAATGTAGGCCTGTAATGCTAGTACTTGGGAGGTAGAAACAGGAAGGTCACAAGTTTGAGGCCAGCTAGCTACATACAGAGACCTTGTCTCAAAAAACAAAACAACAGCAAAAAAAAGTTAATAGTCCCTTGTGGGTAAAAAAGTACTTTTTTTTTTTTTTTTTTTTTTTGAGGTACTTGGGTTTGAACTCAGGGCCTACACCTTGAACTACTCCACTAGCCCCTCCCCCCTCTTTTTGTGATGGGTTTTTTCGAGATAGTCTTGCTTTGCCTGCAATTTATTTGTCCAGCTGACCTCAAACCGAGATCTTCCTGATCTCTCCCTCTTGAGTAGCTAGGATTACAGGCATGAGCCACCAGCACCCAGCTTAAAAAAAAAAAAATGATACTTTGATCAGTGTTAATTTTTCTTTTTTTGGAGCAGGGTCTTGCTCTGTAGCCTAGACTGGCCCCGAACTCATGATCATCTTTCCTCAGCCTCCCAAATGTTGGAATTATAGGTGTATACTATCATACCCAGCTTCTCACAAGTGTTTTTGAGCTTTTTTCTGTAATGTCGTCCATCACATGGAAATGGTTTGATCTTTTCAGACCTTCCTGTTTTTTTTTTTTTTCTTTTGTTAGTGCTGAGAATTGAACTCAGGGCTTCATGCTCACTAGGCAGGCGTTCTACCACTTGAGCGATATCCCAAGCCCTTTTTGCTTGGTTATTTTTGAAATAGGGTCTGACTTTGTGCCCAGGTCACCTTGATCTCAGTCCTGTTTATGCTTTCCATGTAGCTGGATGACAGGCATGTGCCACCATGCCTAGCTTTTATTGGTTGAGATGGGATTGAGAACTTTTTGACTGGGTTGGCCTCAAACCATGAGGAGTATTAGGATTCAGGCTTAGCCACCATGCCTAGCCAGGCCTTGTATTTAGATGTTTCTGGTGGAACCAAAGCAGCATTAAGTCTGACTTTCCTACTACTGAGACAAAAGCATATGCTGCCTGATGGCCCTGGATTTTGAGTTTTCTGTCTCCTGCGGGAACTGGCACCATTGCTGGCCCTGTGTGTGCTAAGAACTGACCCTGTGGGAGGTTCTCCCCCTGCCCTAGGGAGTTGCACACACTCATAAACTATTCAGCATTTGGGTGGAAACATGAGGGGGATGGCATTGGCCAGTGTCGGGGTGCCATTAGTACAGCCTTTCTTTCCAGCACTCTGTCCTGTGCCGTCTAACACGCTTGCACATCTACTCCCTTCTGTGTTCACATTCAGGCAGACCGCTTGGCTCTTCTTGGTCCCTGTAATTGGGACAGCTAGAGGGCACTCCTTCTTTCTCATCAGCCAGAGGCCATTGCCTTGTCTTCACCTCCTCAGGTCCAGTGTCTTAGACACTCCTCCTATGTACAGGGTGTGTATATGTGTTTTAGTTTTAGGTAAATCTAGGGCAACACTCTGTTGTAAAGTAGATACTTTAACTCAATGCATCAAAATGATGAGGTCATTGGCCTAGTACAGTGCCATGTGTGAATTTGGCTCTGACCAGGGTTGAAGGGCTGCCTGCCTCCTGTCCTGCTTGACAACAGGTGGCATCTGCATCCTGAGCCCACAAGAGGAACCAGGACCTACTCACTCAGCACAGCTGACTCCACACAGCAGTGCCTAAGATTACCTGTAGCTCACACTAGAGATGACTGTGATTGATAGGCTGGTGTGTTTCCTCTTATGTGCAGATTTTTTTCACATAATCTCCCCTACTTTCATTTCAGTGGAAGACATATGATCCTGCATTTTCCCAGTTGGAAATTTGGTTCCGCTTTGTCTTTGTGGTGCTCACCTTCATTGTCACTGTGAGTACCATTTGCCTGGGAGAACTAGCTAGGACAAGGCTAGTTTGTACAGTTTTTACAGACTTTGAGATGTGCCATCCAAAGAGGTGGCCCGACCTACTAAACATTCTGTGTGCAGAACTGTTTCAGTGCAGAGAGGATGATATGGGATTGTTTAGGATTTCTGTGCAGTGTTCTAGCCCATTGCAGACCACTGACCTTAAGTAAATTTTCATCAGCATGCAGCAAATAGTGCCATTTAAGCTGTGTGGAAGGGATTCTGTTTTGTTTGAGAGATCTCTGGGAGCAGGTACAGCACTCTCTTGGGTTTTTATATTTGGAAAATTGTACTGGACTTGTCAGTCTTGGGCTTTTCAGGAATAGGCTATAGAGGAAATGGTTTTGGAATGGTAAGCTTTTGGCTTGTTTGGGACCTGAGGTCTGTGTCCACAAGCACAGCATGACTTTGGGGGAAATGCTTATTCTTGGAGACAGAAGGGTGCACAAGAAGATGGAGATTTAGAAATTAGAAACAGAGCAAGTGCACTGTGTTTGGTGGCTGGTTGCCATCTGAGAGTGACATTCTGCTCTCACCAGCAGCTTGCGCTGATGCTGACAGAATATGACATTTAGGAGATGTGTCCCCTTTGTGGTGCTGCCCCCTCTAGTGGCCACCTTAGGAACTCTTTTTTTGTTTTGTTTTTTTTTTGTGATACTTGGTATCATGCTTGCTAGGCAGGTACTCTACCACTTGAGCGGTTCTACCAGCACTTTTTTGTGCTGGATATTTTCAAGACAGGGTCTCACAAAATGTTTTCTCGGGCTGGCCTCAAACTGATCCTCCTGATCTTTGCCTCCTGAGTAGCTAGGATTACAGGCATGAGCCACCAACACCCAGCTCTATCTAAGCAACTCTTGGTACTTTGAAGATTCACCATTTACAGTAGGACACAAGCATGTGGTGAATAGGCAAGGCCAGGATGGGGCTTGGAGTGTGCCAAGTCCAGGGCCTCAGGAAGTCCAGGGTTCCCCCTAAAGAGCTACATTAGTGAAGTGGCCTCTGACAGTCACATAGTCCTTGCTGTCTCTTGAAGGCTGTCTGGTGCCTGGGATTCTCCTTGTATGCACTGGGACCCAAGGACTGGCACTTGTAATCATCCTAACAGAGGGAAATGGGTCCAGATAACCTGGACTGGCGAAAGTTGTTCGCAGGACAGGCAATCCAGATTGCCTAGAAGATTATTGGTTTCTATTAAATCATAGGAAAAAACCAAGGCCTAACCATCACAGATCACACAGTGTCTAAAGTCAGTTTAAAAACAGTTCTCATAGGGCTCCACACACCTTCTCCAGGGAGGTGTTTGAAAATAAACTAGGCCTGTGATGGTGGTCACAAGCCTCATCTGTTGGCTTTTTCTTGGGGAACCTGACACCTCCTTAGCAGCTGGCCATCTGTAAGAGCTGCCCTGCCAAGTGGATGGCCTCTTGGTAGGACTCACAGATGTGCCTGTGCCCCAGGGAGCCTTGTGAACTGCCATCTGTGATCAACCCTGGCAGAAGTAGCCCAGCTAGGTGGAGGCAAGAGGGGTGGACGATCTTTCTGTTTGCAGAGAATTTAAAGGTTGCTGTATTCCTCCTCCCTCCTGCCCCTGTGGGAACACCTTGTGACCCATCTTACCTGTGGTCCCTTGCACCCATCACCCATCTCATCTGGGTTGTCATCAGTGGCTCTAAGACTGCAAGTCAGTTCAACCAGGGCTTAACCCTACAGATCCTGGCCTGGCGCCTGGACTACTGAGGGGGACTCATTGACCCTGCTGGGGAGCAGGGGGTGAGCAGTTATGGGGCCTGTTTGGTTTGCAGTGCCTGTTTGCACATTCCCTGCGCAAGTTTTCCGTGAGGGACTGGGGCACTGAGCAGAAGTGGATGTCTGTCCTCCTGCCACTGCTGCTGTTGTACAACGGTAGGTGCCATTTTATCTTGGAACGTCCCCCTCTCAGATTTAAAGCTGGCAGGCATCTTGGAAGTGGCCTGGTCCCAGAGTCACCAGAAGAGCCTATAGGGAGCCCTGGAGGAGCATGTAGTGGCATGGCCCCCACTCCCCAGGCACCGTGTCACACAGGCCGTGGCAGATGCCTGCATCTTTAACAAACAGCAACTGCTTTGGTAGTTAAAACTTGGAAGAGCTACAGACCCAGCAGTCCTGGAACTTGGCTGAAGGTGCCGGCACGGCTGTCTGTTCCTCTGTCTGGGCTCCAGAAATTATTTGCTCCCCCAACTGCAGTGCTTGGAATTCCCAGACCTGCAGGAGGAGCTGGCGCAGAGCGGACGGCACTCTGTTGTGATCACGGCAGCAATCTGTTCAGTGACTTTTAGGCATTTGGAGAACAAATAGCCTTTGGTTCCTTACCCCTCCTTCAGCTCTGACCAGGGAAAGGCCATAGCGAGCTCAGAGCTTGCAGAGGGCTTCCAGGGCTAGCCCTGCTCTTGTTAGCATGCCTGTCCTTTGCCCTTTAGATCCGTTCTTCCCCCTGTCCTTCCTGGTGAACAGCTGGTTCCCAGGGATGCTGGACGATCTCTTCCAGTCATTGTTCCTGTGTGCCTTGCTGCTCTTCTGGCTGTGCGCGTACCATGGGATACGGGTTCAGGTAAGCTCTAGGAAGACCCACACTCCTCTCCCAACACTGATGGAAATCTTTTAAGATGAGTGTAGTTGTGAAAACTTTCCTTGGCCTCACTGGACAGCAGGGTGCATGCTAGTAGAAATGGTTTGGGTGTCTGTGGTCTAACATGCTCTGCTAGGGTTAATCACTTAGTTTTTTGTATTTCTTACCTTTTTTTTCTTTCAGGGAGAAAGAAAGTGTTTAACTTTCTATTTGCCAAAATTCTTCATTGTTGGCCTATTGTGGCTGGCTTCTGTTACGCTAGGAATATGGCAAACGTGAGTAATTCTATTCCCTGTGAAACATCAGTCCCCAAACACATTGACACAAGTGGGCAGACCCAGATCTGACTCTACCTTGTGATGGCATCCAGAAAGAGAGTCTCTGTTTCACACATGGTCAGATCACTGGGACTGAGGAACTCAGTTTTGCTGGAGTAGAGAACACACCAGTCTACTGGTCTAAGATGGAAAATGAAAATGACCGTATTGGTTTACATTTTTCCTTTAAAGAGACAATGCTGGGATGAGGCTTGGGACTGTCCAGCAGATCTTTTAGTTCCCATCTTACTTCTTCAGGTGTTCCAGTCTGCATGAGCTCCAAGGTTCAGCCTTGTTAGAGTTATCCCATAAAATGGGATTCTGTGGCAGAAGCCCATGTTCCGGCCTGATTCCGTAAAGGACTTCCTTGGAGTAGTTCCTTGCCGAGCGTGGCTTTGTGGCTGGTGTGCCTCATTCATGCCACAGTGGCCACACACCAACAGGACTTTACCCTTATCTGCTTCACTTCCCTATCCTTGCTTCTCTCCCAGCTCCACCTCCTCTATTCATTTTGGGAATCTCTGGAAGGTTGTATTTACCTCGTGCTCAGGTACGCCATCAAAAATAGCTTTTAAACTTGAAAGAGAAACTGTAAAGGGATTTTTTCATGATACTGATGAATGAGGAGTTAGTAGTATTGGCTACTTTCTCTATGTGAAATATGAAATTTTAGGGTTGATTTTTTAGAAAGTGCTTCACTGTTGGTAGCAAGTACTTTAATAAGTTAAAGCATGCCACATGAGAAAAAGTGTAAAATATAAAATAAGGCTTGTTAATTCACCTACATTTTTAATATCATTGTTTAGGGTTAATGAGTTACATGATCCCATGTACCAGTATCGAGTCGACACTGGAAATTTTCAGGTGAGGACTGTTAATAAGCCTGAGGGTTTTTTTTAAAAAAAATTCTGTCTTATGAAATGACTGAATTTTGTCACAAATTGTGCTGTTGACACAAGCTAACAGGCTATTTGGGGAGGACTATAGAAAGTTTAAGATAGAAAATTTGGAGAAAGTGGGAGTAGTATAAAAATAAGCTTTTAAAATTATGTTTTGACTAGCAGTCTTCAGTTTCTGATGGAAGTGCCAAGATATAGAAGGATAATTAAGAAAACATTTCTGTGTATGTTGCTTTTTGAAGGTTTCCCTGGGTCAGTGGTGTGGCCAATCAAGGCAAGTATACAGTCACAGGAGGCCATCCTGGAGCAGGAACCTGTGTTCCTAAAGTTCTTTGTATTTTTTTAATTCAATATGATTTCATTTATCTAATATTAAAAATAGCAAGTTAAATACATGTATTACTTTAGGATTGAAACATGGATAAACAGGTTTAAAATGCAGGATTGTGGATACGTTCTAGGAGAGGGGATGGGTGAGTGAGGCTCCTTTTGATAGAATTTAAAGCACAGTGTTGATGTGGTCAGTCTGTCAAGAAGATGTAACTGCTATGGGTTTTTCTACACTGAAAGAACAGCTTCAAAAATATATATAGTTTTAACTGACAGATTTACATATAGCAGCTAATAAAACTGTATTATAGTGGGAGATTTTCACATGTTACCTTTCTAAGATACCAAATCTTGGGGCTGGGGATGTAGCTCAGTGGTTAAGTGTTTGCCTAGCATGCACAAGGCCCTGTGTTCAATCTCTAGTACTACAAAAACAAAAACAAAAACCCAGATCAAATAGTCAGAAAATTAGCAAGTATTTAGAGGGTTGAAAAATTGCAGTTAATAGGCTTGATCTAACACACATACATACACATTACTTCAGAAAAAAAAAGAATCATATATACAGCTTACAGAAATGTACCATGTGTTAGATACTGAGCGAAATTTAAACAAATTTTAAAGACCCAGCATCATGTAGGTTACTTTATCTGAACACATCATAAAGCAAGTTCTTTGTACTCTAAACAAGGTCCCAGTGGTTTTTTCTTTCTTTTTTTTTTTTTTGGCGGGGGTGGTGGGGTGGTTGAATTTTTTTGTTACTGTTTGGTAAGACTAGAGTTTTCAACTCAGGGCTTCACACTTGCAAAGCAGGTGTTCTAGCACTTGAGCCACACTTCTAGTCTATCTTGTTCTGGTTATTTTGGAGATGGGATGTCACATACTGTTTGCTGAGGCTGACCTCCAGCTAAAATCCTCCCAATCTCAGCCTCTTAAGTCGCTAGGATTACAGGTGTAGCCACTGGTGCCTGGCAGGTGCAGCATTTTTATGCCACACGATCAGTTCTGAGTGAGGCTTTCCCTCTGACTCTCAGGGTTGGGTCCAGCACCTCCAGTGCTATACAAGCCCCCCTCCTGGATGTAGTTTGAGGCCGAGCCCTGGCAGTTGTGCTCAGTGTTGGGTGGAGAGGAGCTCAGCTAGAAGCCGAGGGGTTATGTACCCATGTTGACCACTCTTGGCCATTCCAGAGGGCCCCTGACTTGTACAAATAAGTGATTTTGCTACAACATAAAGCTGCATGCAGCCATAGTTGACATGCATCATTGCTCAGGGTGGTTTGTGGAGCTTCTTGCAAAGTGGTAATATCTGTGCTTCTTTGTGGGACATGCCCTTTGAGAAAGAGAGGGGGCAGTAAGGTTAGTGGTGGTGTGTGGAAAGGAGGTTAACTTGAGTGGAGACTGACTGTGTCCTAGTAAACTGTGTGAGCACCTGCTTCCTACCTGAAATCTGGTAGGGCAGTGGCAATGGCCTTTCTGTTCCTGTACTTAGAGGTTTGGAAGGTGGTTGATGTATGCCTCGTGGACAGTGCCACAGCATCATGCCCTGAGCTGGAGAGGAGGAAGGCTCTGTGGAGGAGGGCACTGTGCCTGCATTGTGTTGGTGAAGCACCTGAGGGGACAAGAGAATGGGTCAGGATGCACTTGATGTAGCTGAACCCAGGAAGGCAGCAGTGCTGGGGGGGGGGGCTCGAGGCCATCCTGTCTAAAGGGGAGGGCCTCAGAGGAGTTTTTGTAGTTGGGGAGCAGGTCATGAAAGGAACGGTGAGGAAGATGCTGCTCTCACCTGTTCCTACAGGGAAGATTTGACGCAGCCCAGTGACAAACAGGCTGTTGGTGAGTGGAACTTCCAGACTTAGAGGAAATAATGCAGTGATTTGTGCTGCTTTACTGTCAGCGTACCTCTTGTCTGGCATAACCCCTTGTTTTTCATGTGAGGGAGCTAAAGAGTGGCCACAGAGCCAGTAGCAGCACTGCCAGGGTCTGCAGCCCAGAGCTGGTTCCTGGGCCAGTGGACCAGCTCCCTAGGTGTCCTGGGAGCAGGAACTCCCTCCCTCCTGAGTCCTCAGTTTCTTCATCTGTGAAATGGGGCAATAATGGCATCTGTCTGTTAGATGAGGAATGCAGAGTATTTGGCCCAGTAGCAGCACATGGAAGACTGCAGCCAGCACCTCAAAATGGTGGCTGCCTGGCTGTCCTTCCTGGCTGTCAGCCACGTTGTTGGGTGTGAAAGGCTGTGAAGGACTCAAGAACAGACAATAGCTGCTACTGAACTGATGGACATGGCAGAAGCTAGTGACTTCTGGTGCCAGAAGCAGTGATGTAGGCCACCTGACTTTAGCAGCTGAGAAAACAAAGCCCGCTGAAGCCACATAGGTCCCTTCCAGGCAGAAGCAGATCCTGCTCCTGACCAGTAGTTCCAGTGTCGGTGCTGCCACCCACAATTCGGAGCAGGGAGGACAGGATGGCAGGGGAGCATGGGGTCCCTTAGGAAGAGGGCTCAGCAAGGAGGGCATGTGTCCTTCCTGGAGCCTGGCCCTCATCAGAGGCACTGACCTTTGCCCTCAGAGGACAGAGCTTTCCTGCCACAAAGCTGTGCAAGTGCACCTCAAGTCCTGGTCTTCCAGCCCATGCTCTGCAGCTCCTTATCTCACAGAGGGGAACACCAAGGTCCAGGACAGCTCAGATTTGCCTGAGGACTGCTCTGTCATGTTCTGGAGCCTGTTGGGCACCACCCTCATCCTCATTAGCAGGGCAGGCCCAGCCCCCATCTCGGATACGAGCATTGGCCACCTCCACTTGCTGAGCACCCAGCGGTCACAGGCCCTGAGTGGTGGGCTGTGGGAGTATCGCTGAGGGAGCCTCTCTCTCTCCTGTGATGCATGGGGCTGGAAATGTCCTTGGGGTGAGCCGCCTGTGCTCCGGGAGCTGCTCCTTGTTCTGCTGGGTGTGATTTGGGGCTCCACCCCCTTTAACCATGCTGGGCTTCACTGTGTCTGGGGGTGCTGGGAGCAGACGTGTCTGAGTTCTGCCTCACTCAAGCACCTGTCTCATTTATTCCAGGGCATGAAGATCTTCTTCATGGTGGTGGCAGCTGTGTACATTTTATACCTCTTGTTCTTGATCATACGGGCATGTTCTGAGCTCCGGCACATGCCTTATGTGGGTGAGCACCACTACAGGAACTGCTGGGGTGGCAGCTGGAGTCTTCCAAGGGTGGGGCAGCACCCAAAGGAGCCTTTAGTCTTCAGGATCCAAAGAGGCCTCTGTGGTGACTGGCCATTTGGAGGGAGGCCTTTGGGTGGAAACAGTAGCCCTGGGAGCTGTCTGGGTCCTACTAAGACCACACCATCATCCTTGGTTAGAGCAAGTCATCTGATCTTAGGGTCTTTCCCCAATTGCCCCACCACCTGAAACCACCCTGGGCCCTGCCCAGCCAAGGCACTCCCAGCTGTGGTAAAACAGAGCCTTAAAGCCCAGAGGTGAGCACTTGCTCAGGGGTGGCTTTCTTTTGTTTTTGGTGTCAAGATCTGAAATTAGAGTAGAATTTGTTAACTGGAGTATTTATTTCCTTTTCAGATCTCAGGTTAAAATTTTTGACTTCGTTGACCTTTGTAGTGCTTGTCATTAGGTAAGACTTTCTTAGATGAAATAATACTGTACTTTCATTCCACTGCCATGAGTGTCTGTTCTCTACTTTTGTGGGGTTAATTCAGGGGACTGTTGGTGACAAACATTCATTAGGTTAGAGGGCCTCCACCTAGGACTGGAGTTGTTGAATATGAATTGTGGTCCAGGGGCTTCTGTTATGAGTGTGCAGGAATGAAGCCCACTACCTACAACACACTTACTTTCTCACTCCCTGTCAGGTCTCAGCCCGTGCACTGGACACCTGAACACTGCCAGCTGAGCGGCAGTTCAGCTGAGCTCTGGCCCTTAGGGCCCTCTTGATGTTCTAAGTTAGTGAAGATTTTGGGGAGCAGCTCACTGTTGGCTCTGGGGGGCAGGGATCAGGGTGGCTGCTGGGCCAGAGAGGAGGGCCATGCACACAGTCCCCCTGTCATAGGAGATGATGGTGAAGACATGAATGAGTGACTGGGAGGAGAATGTGCAGAGTATGCTTCCAGACCCTGGTCAGCGACTGTGGTTAGTGTGTCTCATTATAGGCTCACTCCCTCTCTCAGCTGGCAGAGACCTGAGGCCACAAGAACAGGCATGGGGTTGTGTGTGCATATGTGCATGTGTGTATGTGTAAGAAATTTCCATGAAGAAATAATAGTAACTAGACTATGTGTTAACCAGGTGAATACAACAGGTTAGATGATGCTAGGGACACTTTGTGTATTTTTACGTACTGTCTCTGTTTTCCCCTTTCCCCTCCTTCAGTATCATCATCCTTTATTTGAGGTTTGGAGCACAAGTATTACAAGACAACTTTGTAGCAGAACTGTCGACTCACTACCAGAACTATATCCTTTTCATTGGGGCACCAGTGCTTCGGAGACACCCTGGGAGCAGTGGTTTGCCCTTAGGTTTTGGAGGCTCAAGTCAGCAAATCTGCTTCTATGACCTGAGGACTTCATGTGCCCAGTTTGTGCAAAGAGGCATTTCCCCAAACCCCCCTTTTGGCTCTGTGTCAGCCGTGTAAAGGGTCAGCTCCATCAGTCTTCCTGTGTAAACAGGAAAGGGCTATAGGGCTGAACCCTTCCCTAAGCTCAGTCACCATATGGCAAGCTGGATCTAAACCCAGGGCTGCCAGTGCTCTGGTTCTGTCCCCCATGCCACACTGCTTTCCTTCCATTGGGGCAGGCCTGTGCAGCTGGGTGACACCGAGTCACACTTGCAAACTGGGGTGAGTCCAGAGTGGAGCTCCCTCCAGCAGAGCAGTGAGGTGTGGCCAAAGGTGATTCGCGCCCTCTCTTCCCCCACCGGCGGCTCTCACCATCATCCACATGCATTCATATGTCCTCATGACAACATGGCAGGTTGAGCCTGTGGATCCAGGGAAGGGCTCCTTTGGTTCTCTGTGCCCCAGGCCAGTCAGCAGCTTGTTCCCCTCAGGTTCCCTGTTCAGTGGACGCTTTGTCCCTCTCAGTGCTGGGTATGTTTAGGGAGTTAATCCTTTAAATCTCGGATCTTGCCCTGGGACTTTTTATGTCCTTAGAAGTCACAGTTTTCAGTTGTCTTGGCTGAATTTGCACCGTGATTTTCCCCGATCCTCACAGAGAAGGTGAAGAAGGACTTCCTCTAAGACGGGGCTCCCTGTGCAGCCCAGGCTCGCTTGAAACTTGTGATCCTCCTGCCTCTGCCTTTGCCTCGCTGGGATTATAGGGGTGACTACCACAGCCTGGCCCAGGGTGTTCTTACTCTGTATTTTATTACTATGCCGGTGGCTCTTGCTTCACTTCCTGCTTTTGTGTATATGTAACTTGATCCTGCCCTTGGCGTTGCTGTGCAAGGAGGTCTGCCACCACTTGACGTTCCTTCCCTTGACTGGCTCCACCAGCTGAATTCTTGTCTTTCTATGGCTTGCTCAACTTTTATCTCTACACTTTGGCCTTTGTGTATTCTCCATCGAAGAATGCTCTGTATGGTAAGACCCCCTGGGCTCTGGGTGGCTGGCCAGCCTGGTAGCTGAAACACAAGTCTGGGTTTCCACAGATGCCGGGCACCATGACTCGTGGTGCCTTCTCGTTGGGCAGACAGACACAGGCAGTTAAACACCAAGCCTGAAGTTTTGACTGGAGCAGTGCTCCACTGTACCTGTGTCTGCATTACAGCCCATGATGGTCGAGTTGTTTTGTAGTGGGTTTTGGCACAAGCAACGTGTCCATCAGTGATGTGAAATAAAGTGTTGGTACTTTCTTAGTGACCATTCAAAGGAAAGCCAAAAAAACAAAAACAAATTCAATAAACAAACCAGAGAGGTTTGAAAGCTGTTGGGAGAAGGAAGCACGACCTGATACCGTTACAGGTGCTCGAGCTCCAGACACCTTCATGAATAGCGTCTCCTTTGGGCGTCATGAGGTGACCGGTTTAGATCCACGCAGACAGATACACAGGATCTGGGGTTGGCATCCAGCTCTTTCATACTCCATCGGGGCTAATAATATAAATGGCTGCACTTAAAAAAGCTTTTGTTGGTTTTCAGAATCCCAGCTGAAAGACAATCCTGCATTTTCCATGCTAAATGATTCTGATGATGATGTGATTTACGGGTAAGTCACTGTCCCCAGGAGCATTCCAGCCTGGCTCTGCACACATACTGAACCATTGTTATTCAAAGACTATTTTCAGAATATTATTTGGGGCTGGGGGTCATGGAGTTCCATGGCTTTCTGTTTCAAATGACTCAGGTTTAGGTTTAGTGGTGTTCTGTTTTGCAGAATGTCTACAGTGCGTGATAACCATTGGACTGTGGACTGATGGCCCTAGGAGTCAAATGAGGGAAGAAGTGGGCAGTGTTGGGTGGCAACAGAACACCTAGAGGGAAGCTGGGAGATTAGTCCTTTCAGAATGGTACGTCATTGTGAAGGACAAGAGACAGTTAAGAGCTGCCAGGGTGGAAGGGTGTCAAAGGTCTCTCTTACAACAGGAGTGACTATGAAGAAATGCCCCTGCAGAATGGCCAGGCCATTCGGGCCAAGTACAAGGAGGAGTCTGACAGCGACTGAACCCCGGGCAGCAGGCGAGATGGCAAGGAGGCCAGAGCCTTCCTGCAGTGACCGTGTCCTGGCCTCCCTTCTACCTGCTTCTCTTGTGAGCAAAGGTTTCCTAGTCCTTGTTTACATATTTTTAAGAGAAAAACCAAAACCAAGAACAGATTTAACTGTTGGGTCAAGAAATGTTAGGGTGGCTCCATTAGAGAAGAGAGGCTGGCAGAAAGCTTTTCACAGATTTCACATAAAACAGCATTTTCCAGTGTGAGGAGAAACTATGCCTATTTGCAATAGAAAGAATTACGTACTTTTTATTTTTAAAAATAATTCACTTAGCTCCACGTCCACAGGAGGCCCTCATGACTTAAGACCCAGCACAGCAGCATTGCTCCTCCTGCTTCCTTCCTTGCTTTCCCCATGGACTAGTTAGGGCCTTGATTCCCAGGGATCTGGAGCGATGACAGTGACTGTGCCATGTAGGTATGACTCGCCAGGGTCCAGGCCTTGCCAGAGCAGAAGTGCTGAGGGACTTGGGAGGCTGAATGAGGAAAGGTGACTTAACAAGTCACCAGCCCCATGAGCAAGGTCTTGTCCCGTGGTGCTGTCCAAAGCTCTGTGTGCACGAGTTGCACCAACGTGAACATGAGCCAGTCTCCCTGTGTTGGGGTGGGCAACAGGGTAGCCCTTCCCATCCCATTAACTAGTTTCTGCAGCTCTGCTGAACATGAAACTCCATAGAGCTCTCTAGTTTTGTTTTTTTAATGAGCGCTACATGAAATATTGCTGTATTGTAGATTCTTTATTGCCAAAAAGTTTTTCAGTTTTATATTTGGAAATTAGATAGAGAATAAGTAGAATACTTTCAGTGGAGGTGGAAAAACAACTTTGGGTAGAGGCAGCTTGTTTGGGGGTCATTCCCAGATCTGTTGTGGTCAGGTGAGCCAGACGCATTGTTCTGTGGAAAGTGGACGTCTGGTGCTGGAGAAGCTCAGTGCTGGAGATGGGCCTCTGAGAACATGGCAGTTTCTGTCAGAGACTCAGCTAGAGTCTGGTGTAGGAGTTTCCTGCGCTTCTTCCTGGCCATCCCCAGGAACACCTCTGTTAACATGGTAACTAGCTATCCTGCCTGCTGCCGTCCTGGCAAACAGAGGCCCAGGAAGGGGGGGTCATCCCACTCTCCAGGCAGCACCTACATTCCCTTCATCTATGCATGGACGCTCAGATTTCCACTCAGAGCTGCAGGTCACGGCCACCTCAGGTGGTGCCCAGACCCCAGGAATGCTTGGGAGAGACTATTCAATAGGACTTCCTTTTTAAACCTAATGTACTTTAATATGGATTCCTTTTGTTTAAAAAAACCCTGTAAATACGAATGTCTGAAGGAAAGCATCTGTATTATTGCAAGATGATACAAGTTTACATGATTTTACATTTGCAGTGCTGTGATTTTTTTTTTGATCCTGTGTACTCAGAGGTATTGAAAAAAAAGTTTGTTACCAAATTTTACAACTTGTAAGACCACTCTAACTATAAATAATTTTATGTACACTGATGAAGACTGATTTGTGCTGATTAACACATTCTGATATATGATACAGTTTACATGTTTTAATCACTACAAAAGAATTGTCCATGATTTGGAATGCTGTTATTTATCAGTAAATGTAAGATATTTGAGACATTTAGCTATAGATATTAGACCTTTTAAAAACTTGTCTGTCCTGTAGTGTAACTATAAACTGATCACTAGAATCTTCATACTTTGATTCTTCATGGTATCAGTGAAATAAAAAATAGAGGAGTATTTTTGGTTGGAAACAAGAAAAATATTAGAAAGGAAGCACTTAAGGGGAAAATAGTTCTTTATTAAATCATGCATTTTCAATTTGTCTTTCCTGGAGTTTCATGCATATCAACATAGTCTACACTTCATGTAAAATTTTGATTCAAGTATGGAGCATTCAGTGTGTAGAATATGTGCCATAGGTATTAGGTTAAAACACTAAAGGCTGCCAGAAACTTTGGCAGAAAGTTTGCCGGAACAAGAAAGTTGTTTTCATTTCCAAGAAAATTGTTTTGCAACCTTAAGGTATAAATTCAAAGGGCTGACTTTAGTTCTTTCATGGTAATGGCTTAAATAACATCTTTGGGATATTTTTTATATTGGTCCAGGCTAGGGGAACCTGCAAGATGAACTCTCTGGGGAGAGCTTCATTATCCCTGTGGATAATAGCTCCACTGGATTTATTATGGGATCATTTTAGCAGTGACATGGTGCCGTTAAGCCCCAGTTGCAAGGCTAGAGAAGGGGATCTATAGAGTATATTCAGGGCTTGAAAGGTGGTCCAGACTGCAGTAAGTTCAGATACAGTTTGTGAACTTAACCCACTAGATATGGACAGGTTACAACACACGTCACCAGCCTCAAGTATTTCATGAACTATTTACTAAAGGGACAGCTATGATAAGTTATAATATAGCCAGCAACTTATTTCCTGAGTTTTCTCACAGGAAAAACACAAGTACCCATAAAAGGGGTAATTAAAATGGACTTCTATGAATGTTTAGTAAAGAGTATACTTAAGACACTAAAGTGTATTTGTATGCTTGAGGGTTTTAGAAACCAATTGCCTTAGAGGTTAGGTTTTGGGAAAAAAAAATCTTTTCCCCAGGCCAGAGGGGAATTGCTTTAGTATATGACATTTTGTTGAGCAATTTGTCTTGATAGGATATTTTGCATATATTAATAAGTGTATCACTATGAAACAAAAGTAATTTCTGCTACTGAAAATGGCCTTTTTATGAAAAGATGTAAATATTTGTAATATAAAACATCACTAAGCTTTAGCTCAGAAGGAAAGCTAGAACTATCTATGTATTAGAGTTTGGAACTTTCAGGAGGCCAGTGCCACCTCATCAGTGGCTGTTGTAATCAATCAGGCAAAAAGTAAATAAACGTTTATTTATGGCAAACTCACATTTTGAGAGTGGCTTCTATATTAGTCAGACCTTTCATTGCTGTGACAAATACCGGAGAGAACAATTTCAAAGGAGGAAAGATTTATTTTGGCTCATGGTTCAGAGGGTTGAGCCAGTGATCGGTTTGCTTCATTGCTGTGGGCCTGTGGTGAGGCAGCCTTGTGTGCGGTGGAACAGAGCTGCTTGTCTCATGGTGGCCAGGAAGCAGATTGCTAGGAAAGGGGTCTAAGCAAGATATAGCTCCTAAGGACATGCCTCCTGTGCACTACTTCCTCCAATTAGATCCTACCTCCTTAAGTTTCCAGAACCCCAAGGGCCTTCAACACGTGAGCTGTGGAGACATTTCATATTCAAACCATAACGGCTTCATTCTGATGCTTCCTTTCTGGTAAATGTTGATACATTGCTAACATTCAGTCCATACATATAATACCTCTATCTGTCTGTCATCTATCTATCTGTCTTGTTTGGTCTTTGCACATGGAGTTAAATTTCAAACATGAGTGCTTCACTAAAAGGGCTTTGGAGACAAGAGCAGGGCTGTTTTCATTTCAGCAAGTACAAATTGTCTTAATAGCCCTCAGAAGAGCTCCAAAGGGGATGACAGAAGCCAGGGCTTTGAAGTTCACCTCCCCACTTACTAAGATTTGTGACTTTAGTCAGATAACTTCCAAGCTCTTTGTGATTTTCAAATAACTGCATGATTGTGGACACAGGTGACCAATTTGTGAAAGCATTCTGTAGGCCATAAAGTGCTAGTGATGTGCAGTTGCTACTGAAAAATAATATTGGATAAAAGTTAGAGCCTCTCAGCTTTGGGCCAAGCATGTATGAGTTAGCAGTCTCTGACTTGCTCACCTCCCACCCCATAACTTCCAGGGTGCGATGCCCAGCAAAGGAATGTAACCAGAACCCAGCAGTGTAGTCAAGGTCCTGTTCCCATTGGTGAAATCAGCAAATCTTTGTGCTAGAGAGGACCAAAATGAAGTAAGACTTTTCCTCTACTCAGGCATTTGCAGATAACATATCACATCCCTAGAAAAAGAATCCCAGGATTTTCCCTCCTGTTTGTCTTGCTTCCTGCGCTATGCCAGCTGAGGTTGTCAGACAATACAATGAAACCAAACTGATGGCATGGGAGCGGATTAGGTCTTAGAGTTGCACATCAAATCTGAGGTTGATCACTCCACATTTGTCTAAGCTGCTTGTGAAGTTAACAATCTTCCCAGCTCTGTGACCATCAGTGATCACAGTGAGAAACAGGTCCATGATTTTGGAGCCCAGCTCACCAAGAACCTGACTTGCCTCTCAGCACTGCTGATGCTCGAGTGTCGGCCAGGACGTTTATGCACTCTTAGGGAAGCGCAGAAAGAGCTGAATGCAACTTTAGTTTAAAAGATTCTGAAGTGACTGACTAAATATGAAGAATTTATTTGTGATACTTTTTAGACTATGAAGAACAACACAACTGTAAATTTGAATAATTTATTGTTCTAACAAAAGTATAAAGTATGGAAAATTAGTGTATTTGAATCATTTCAGAAAGCAGAGAAAGTTTCCCACTAGCAGATTTCAGTTTTTAGCACCTTTGAAAAGAAATAGTTAAGACAAGTGGCAATACAGGATTCAGACTACTACAGAGAATTATTAATCTGACTTAACAGTGCCCAGTTTGTAGAACAGTGTGGTCATTTGGTTTATTTCTCTACATTTTGAGAGTGCCACAAAACACACACTTAAAGAGGAGAAAGGTGTCCACTGACTTCACGGCTGGTGGTTAGAATACGGAGTAGAAATGCGGAGACAAGAAGAGTCACAGGCTGGACGAGGTCAGATGGACAGCCCAAAGGCGCTGACGATGCAGTACATGGTCTTGTTCTCCCACCGCACAGTGCAGCTCCCTGGAAGGAAGACATGAGCACCGAAACAGTTCCACACCAAGGCTAACGCTCAAACACCCACCTCTTTACAGCAAAGACAGGTGCCAGTCTCCATAACATGTAACTCTTACAAACATGCATTTGAAGATAGGCGATACCCAAGCACATATTTCACAAAATGCTGCTTTTAAATAATACGTATCTCAGCGCATTCTAAAAAGGTACTTGGAAACTTTGAAGGACAATGTGCATGACAAGACTTCACAAACAGGCTGAAAGTGATACCGTCAGTACTGCTGTCCCAGAAGCAGGAACTTGCTGTGTGTAATCCAGCTCCATTCTTTTGCATAATTACACAGGTCACTTAAATTAAAACAAACTTTTATTAGAAAAATCGTAGCAACATAAACTTCTTTTTTCCACTTAACATATTGAAGTTCCCAATAAAAATTACAGGAGTGGACTACCTTGTCTCACTATTGACAAACTATACTCTTTCCATTCTCTAGCACTTACTTGCTCTGAAAGCTTCTGATCAGAAATCCTGTACAGTCCTGCTTGGTCCATCCCCCACAACTGTACCAGCAGCCAAATAGGCTGAGTGTATGGTAACATACAGAAAGTGACCTACTCCCAGAAAGAACATCTTTGAGGGTAGCTAGTTAGGCACCAAATTGCCAGGTTAGCTCTCTTTTGGCACCAGACACACCTCTGATGAGTACTGAAAGAAACACCAGGAACAAAGATCCATTACCAATGTATTTGAATGGTTTTCCCAGCTTGGTGAGTTGGCTTAAGGTTTGTTCCACGACATTTGTAGTCCACTGATTGACTTTGCTGTGCTGGTAAGCGTTACCACCGATGGCACTTTCTATAGCCTAGGAAACAAAACACAAGGAGTGACAGCCAGAGGACACACCAAACACCGTCCAGTTCATACCCACAATGGGCTGCCCTCAGAGTCGAAACAAAACTTGTGGAAGAGGCAAGTTTCTGCTTAGGAAGTCTCCTTTGTAAGTCTATCTTTAACAGGTTGACCTTGGCTGAAAGACCTGGGGTTTATATGGAGTCTGTCAAATGTGTTTAACATTGTGATCTAGTAATTGGATCAATGTTCACTGCTGTTTTTATACCCAGAGATAAGCAACACTTTTTCTTACCTGACTGAGGCTAGCAAGCATTTTACTTTGCCAATTCCTTTCTTACTATACTAGATGTTTCTATCTAATACTACATGTTAGGTGAACTTTTATTGGTTAATTGTACAACTGACAATGTACAAACCTAACCAAATGGTCATATATTCAGATGTTTTTTATCCATCATAGTTCTGGGAATATGTTACCACATGAGTGCAATTTTCAGATAACTAAAGAAAAGTCCTTTGCATTTCAAAACTTAAAAGTCTGTGATGAGGTCTTTTTCTTATTTTTGGTGTCTTTTCCTGTGCTGTGTCCGAGGGGTCATTGTCCCTGCTCTTGCTGCAGTGCAATTCCCAGCCGACTTTCTGGGTCCTTCCCTGGCAGCTCCCCTCGGCACTGACGCCATTGTGCCTCTATCTAAGCAGACTTCTCTACCTGTTTCTAACCTGCTGTGCTGCACGCCAGAAAACTGAAACTTTATGACAATTATGACCCAAAATAAAAGTAAAAGCATTCAGCAAAGGTCATGATCTGTCCTCAGACATGCAGAGAAGACCGACAGCCCAGGACCCAAGTTGTGCACCGAGGTGAGGGAGCAGGGTCCAGCAGTTCTGCATCCTCAAAGGGAGGAGTGGGAGGGTGACTGCACACGCCAGGCCTCTAACTCAGGCATCCCTCTCGTGCACTTTGAAATCCACTTTTCCAGGGAGAGGAAAACCTCTTAAGTTTTGACCTGCTGAAATTTTAACTACCTAATACGTAATATAGCTTGAGTACAGAATTAACCTATTGCCAAGGCAAAAAAAAAAAAAAAAAAAGCCACCGAGACCAGTGATTCCTGTTAAAGTAGCATCGCCACCCCACCTCATGCTTCCTTGTGCGTTGGCAATGTGTGCTTTCAACTGTGCTTGCTCCCTGGTGAAAGCAGACTACTAACAAACCCCAGCTCCACTTTTCCTGGTCCTAGTTTAACTTTTCTGCTCCCAAACTGTTCCAAGTGAAACACTATACTTAAAAAACAATGAAAAGCAAACATTAACAGACCCTGCAAAGTAACCTGAATGTCATGTCTGATGTTGAATAATGTAAAGAGTAAAAGAGAAAATCACTTTGCTTTTGGATTCTTTTCACAAAAATAGGTTGTGGTTCTTCATCAGTCTGGCATTAGTGGCTAATTTGCCTTAAAGTCAGTCCTAAATTACATAAGGAATCTCACATGGCATTAAAGTCAGATCTAATGACTCGTAGCCAGTGGTGTCAGGATCTGGGTTCAGTCTTCCCTGAGCAGGGAAGCTGACCAAGTCAGCCCTTCTGGCTTCACTCTTGCACCAGGAACCCCTGGCTTGCTCGATCTCACAATCCACGCACAACCCCCACGGGGCCCTTGCACATGATCTCCACAGCACACAGCCTTTTTTTCCGCGATGTTAACTCTATAGTCAGGGTCAAATTCCTTGTTAAATGCTCTCACACCATATCCTGTGGCACGCACGTAGCAAATGCAAGCTAACACGTTCCAGTACCTGGTAATGCTGCCCCCCCTGCTGTAAACTCCAGGAGGGTCAGCCTCTGACACACTTCCTCATTATGTGCTCTTTACTTTTCGCAGTTCTGAGGATTCAACCCACGGCCTCCAGCATGGTAGGCAAGTAAGTGCTCCATCAGTTCAACCATGTCCCCAGCCCTTTTGTATGTATTTTTTAATTAGCATACATTAATAGTATCTTGTTTTTGAGATGGGTCTATAATTTTGCTACAGCTTGCCTCAAACTCACCATCCTCCTGCCTGCCAAAGTAGCTGGGATTATAGGTTTGCAGTACCACACCCAGCTCATTATGTGCTTCTGAATCAATGAAGAACAAATACTCGTTTTGTCTTTTGTCTTTCATCATCAAAGAAGGAAGTTACTGTGACCCATAACAGTCATACAGGTAATTTAGGAATGTAAGAAAAATAACTGAAGAAGTCTCAACAAACCACCAGGTCCTGAATAATTGAGAGCTGCTACATTTTCTTTGTGCTCCCTCTTATCTTTATTTTCTCTACACATTCCTGAGTTTTCTAGATTTTCTGCAGTAAACTAACTGACGTGCAAAGAAAATACTTCTTTATGATCCTGTAATTAAGAACTTTGGACATCTCAAAAAAGGTTGTCAAGTTAGTCTAAGACGGCATTTGCAGCATTTTACTCCTAAGCCAGTGAACACTTGGAGAGTGAGCGCCCTTTCTCTTACCTCTTTCGCAATGTTGCTTACTTCGTCAACAACGAAAGCGGCCTGCAAGGAAGAAAGCTTGGTAAGGGTAACTTAAAAGACCCATTTCCATCGCATTGCTAATGCAGATTTAGTTAATGAATACAGTTTATAAAGAGCTCATGCCTGTAGTCCTAGCTACTCCTGAAGATCACAGTTCGGAGCCAGCCCAGACAAATAGTTCCTGAGATACTATCTTGAAAAATCTCATCACAGAAAAGGGCTGGTGAAGTGGCTCAAGCGGTAAGAGCAATTGCCTGGCAAGCCTGAGGCTCTGAGTTCAAACCCCAGTGCCGCCAAAATAAAGTGTTTAGAAATCACCTATGTAAGAGTGCACTATGAGAAAGGTCGGATACACTGAGCATCACGGCCAGTGAATGCAGCTGTGGGCCTAGAACACATGCATGTAATTTAAAGGTGTTTTTGTTTAAGTCATGCTACAATCCAAGACTTTAAACTAAAATACAATCTCTTCTTCCATTTCAACCAGCTGTAAGGGTCATTAACCAGCATACATACTTAATGAGTTACTCAATTTTTTATAATTATTTGAAGCAGCTTAAGCAATTTATTTTAAAGATGGAACTTTCTCTTTATGTAAACTGATTGCCTAAAACTTAAGAGGTATTTTATTTTAAGCCACCATTAGTCAAAATTTACAATTATCCATTTCTGGATCATTTAGTTTCTTCACACTGCCCTACTTCAGGAATGTCACCCAGCTGACTGGGAAGGTGGGCTGCCAGAGGAACCTTGTATCACATAGTTCATTCTTTCCTTTTCACATATGGTACATGGAAGGCATACGAGATCATCCTGAAAACAACATTCATCAGCCGCTTGCCTGCCAGTGTGCTTCCTTACCTAAGGAAAAAGCAGTGCCGTCACCGCTGAGTCCTGTGGACGTACTGAGCTTGGCCATGCCTCTGAGGGCAGCCCCTTGGGGCCCTCAAAGTGAACCCAGGTAGAATAAAGGCAGCAAGCCCTACTTGGGTCAGTTTTCCTCCATCCTGGCTGCTCACCACTGCAGGTCCTGCCCGATTCTAGTAATGTGCCTTTCTTTTCAGGGGGAATAAGAATTGACTGCCCAAAGTCATCTACTCACTGTACTTACAAGAAGTCACATTTGGAAACAAAACCAAATCATTGAGTTAATAAAAATGTGCAGTATCTGAGAAATTAATCATTTCTGGAAGCTAAAAGGATCCTTCCAGTTGACTAAAATTACCATAAGCCACAAAGAAAGGTCCCTGTATAACTTTCCATATGGTCAAGGTATGAAAAAAGAGAAGCACATTTTAAGGAACTTGTAGGAAGGGCAGTTGTAAGGAACCCACTGGATAGTTTCAGCTTCCACGAGAAAGAGGAATGTGGTGAGAGTAGAATCACCAACAGGCTAGAGAATATGCAGAAAAGGCTTAGTTGACAGGCTGGTGGGATGTACGATTTAGTAAATGCCAAGGGGAGCCTAACAGCAGGTAGCTATGACAGCCAGGGCTTAATCTGTAACACACACATCACTCTACCCAGCCCCTTTCTTTTAGGATAGGCCACTGGATCTGGAATAATGAATATTAGCCATTTACTTCCTTTGTGAAAGCTGTAGCCCGAATGTAGTTGTAAGGGCTTTCTCCTACAACGTCCTTTGTTTTTTAAAACATTTTATTCAATGTTACTACAAAGCAAGCCTTTTTCCAATCTTACATTGGGTAATGGCTTTTCCTTTGCTAGCTGCTCCTGAATCATGCTTTGTCATTATTCACGTGGTTGCTACCAGCACTCAAATACTGCTATAAAAGTTGGGTTAGTTTGAAAATTAGATCAAAACTGAAACTCTAGGATCATTCCTTAAAGTTTAATTTTTCTCTCAACGCCTTCCTTCCAGGTGGAACTCAATTTCAAAAGTGGCAAAATGTCAAACTTCAAAGTTTTTATTTTTGACAATTGCGTAATACAAATGTTGCAACAGGATTACTCAGCGAGAACACGAGCAGTGTCCACGGGCTCTATTTCCTCCATCTCAGGAGCACACCAGGACATCTGCTTGGCAAACAGCTGTGTGTGTTCCCTGCTTCTCGGGGCAACACGAGACGCTTTTTCTCCCCCCTCAAGAATCAGCGGCCTTTCTCGCATCTCAAACTCAAATGAAATGCCACTGGTTCGTGGTGGGCCTGGGCGGCGTGCGCGCGGCACGGAGGGACAAGGAGCGGAGCGGAGACAAAGGCAGGGCCCCGCTGCGGGCACGTCTGCTTCCGGCGGGCAGAAGGGACCGGGGAGGTGGCCTTGGGCGCCCACGCCACGCATGCCTGTCACCCTGGACCCGGGTCTTCCCCCCCCCCCCCGGACGCCCAGCACCCCTGGGGCCGGCTGGGGCTGCTCCACGGAATAAGGGGCGGAGTGATGTCATCCTTCCGGAGCCTCGGGCAGGGCCGTCCCGGCGCCGTGGCCCCGGCCTCTGCCCGCAGACCGCCGGGGCGCCGCCGCGCAAAAGGAGTCGAGCTCCGGCCTCCCGCGCCTCCCCGCTGGGACCGAACGGCCGCGGTGCCCTTGCGGGTGCGGCGGACCGGAGGCCGGGCTCGTCAGCCTTTGAGCGGGTCCGCCGCGGCCCAGGGCAGCTCCCCAAGCAGGGCCACGGCACCACGCCCAGAGTCATCAGCCTCCACCCTCCTGTCGCCCACAGGGCGGTTACCTCCTCGGCAGCCTGATAGTCTTCCATCTTTCCTCCTGCGCGTAGCCTCCGCCACCCGGAGGAGAGCGGACGGCGCAAGCGCACTTAGGCCCCGCCCTGTGCACCGCCCCGTCCACGCCCACCGCGTCGGTGGACACGCCCTTCTCCAGGGCCCCGCCCTGCCCGGATGCAACTCCAGGTCTCTAGGAGGTGGTGGTCTCCAAGCAGACAGGGTAGCCTGGCAGCTTAGCAAACTGCAGCAACTCAAAGCAGACCAGAGACAAAAGCCAGTGGGGGTGGGGAGGGCTGGAAGCGTCGTCCTAGCCCCTCCTCCACCTACCGTGGAGATTAGTGGGCACTTGCAAACGGGCTGGGACATCTAGTTCCAAACTGTCAAGTGACGACTAAGGTAAGGTGCAATGTGAGATGTTAGTTACAGTTCCCTTGGGGATCCAGGATAAGTGTACAAAACTTTGAAGAGGCAAGTTTTCCCATACATGCATGGTGAATGAGTTTTTCCTTAAAGCACTGTGTTGAAAACCATTTTGGATAGAAATTTTTGTAAACTGCAGCACATTCCCTGGCTTCCTAAAGCAGAGTGAACTAGACACGGACTTGTATCCAAGCGTCTTGGCTGCAATGAGCAATTAATTGCCCTGAGCTATGTAGACGCGTCTCCACGCAGGGCTGGGGCATATGCACCTGTTCGCATGTACTCTGAGGCTCGGAGTTTTGACTTTGGAGGATATTTGTTCTGGTTCTACCAGACACCCCAAAGCTCAGTTGCTAGTACCCCCTGGAAACAGCCTACGATAAAGATCCCAAAGATTTGGTAGAATAAGCTTCAGATCCCCTTGTTTCCACACCTATGCTTTGGTCCTAGCTCAAGGTTTGTGTCTCTCACTTGGATTATGGTGACAACTGATGCACCAGAACCGGGGTGGTCTTTTGGCTAGGGTCTTACTAGAACCTTTCAGAGAGAAACTAACCCTTCCAAAGTTACTGCCTTCCTCTGTCCCATCTTGCCTTGCCATAAGGCAATAATTCCAATGCTATTGTCTACAGACTTTTTCCTGATGGTCTTCAGATGATTAAGCTTGAGTAGCTCTTAGCTCCAAATCTCTCCCTGGAGGCAGCCCTTCATTGTTCTCTAGCCTGCATCCTGTCCCTTTCCTAGCCCTTCTCTCACTTTGAAGGATGTATTTATGGCTGCCTGCTTAGGATGTCTTTACATCTAGAATTGACGTTCCATGCAGGCAGGACTCATTTTCTTCACTATTGTATGCCTTCCTACAGAAGGCACACAGTTAAAATTCATCAAATGAATGAGTGATTTCTCTAGGGTGTTAGCTCTGCCTTAGACCCAAATGGAGAGAACAAGAGAGTAGAGTGCCTCCTTGTGGGACACAGGGCCGCCAGGAGAGGGCAGAGCTGAGGCCCACCTAAGGCTGCTCTGCACTGGGTATTTGGCATAAGCAGGGAGACCCAGTGGGTGGGCTGGGTGCTGTCCCACACCTGGTCTTCTGCGCCTTGGTTTCTGAACTTTATTTTACCTTTTTAAGTTCCCTTCTTATTACCTGGCTTCAACTCACCTGTTTTAGTCTTGTGCCCTGGTGTACTTCTGATTCTGATTCTGATTCTGATTTTCTCTTTCTGCCATTCTCAGAGATTCACCTGAGTCCCTCTTTAGGCGTCCTCTGACTAGCTGGCTCAGGCCCTCTGCCCTACCATGATCCTGAGCCAACTAAGTGCCTTTAACGTTCCTAATTTTCTTCTTCTTGCTTTGTTCTGGGCCTTGAGTTCTACTAGCTGATTGTCTTAGTAAGGGGCAAAGCAGGATTCTTAGTGAACATTTGCGATTAAAGAGTGTGGAGTTTGGGACATCCATTTCATTTCCTTCACAGCCTTTTAGAAACTTCCTAGTTCAAATGAGTTTCCTGAATGACTGCCAAAATAGTGCATAGATCTTAAGTAATATTGCAACTAAAGGTCAATGGAGAACATGTGAGTGTGTATTTACAAAACTTGACGTGACTCCAGCTTATATGCACTGGGTATCACTCTTCAATTTCAACTATCAAAGAATATTAATTAATTAACTTTCTTGCTATTTATTTTTTGGTGGGAATAGGGTTTGAACTCAGGGCTTCATGCTAGCAAAGCAGGTGCTCTACTGCTTGAGCCACACCTCCCGTATTTGCTCTAGTCATTTTGGAGATGGGGGGGGGTCTGGTGAGTTATTTGCTGAGGATGGCCTTGAACCGTGATCCTTCTTAAAAGGCATTGACAAAGTCCTTATTTCTACATTTTGTATTTCAGTGACTTAACTTGAAGAAAGAGTGATTGCATACATTACCTGCCAATCTATGACTAACCACCAAATTGAAAAATAAACCCAAGATTCACAGAAACTAAACATCATTCAAAAACATAGCTGAACACAAGATTTATGAGCCAATGTGTTTATGTGCCAGTGCTTCTAATGTGTGTTCATTCTCGGAAGATAGGAAGTGCTGGATATGCAACTAGTGAACAACGAATGTCCTACTGATTTGCAGTTCCTTAGCCCTGCTGCCTGTACGTCAGTGGGGAAGAGTATGCGAGATCCCTGTATTTGCCAAAGCACTACAAAGTGACATATGCCTAGAAAATCCAAACCTTCCCATTAACAGAAATCAGGTTTATAAAATATTCTATCAAGACTGTGTCTTGGGCCTGGAGGAGTGGCTCAAGTGGTACAGTGCCTGCCTAGCAAGCACAGTCTCCCACTGTCTTGGCTGAGTAATGTTTTCTACATCGGTTCTAATTTCCTAATAGATCTTTAATATCTAATGTACATTTTCCTTTGACTATCTCACTCTTATCAAGATGTTTGTTTGGGGGTTAAAGAAGCTTAATTAAAAGACTTTTAAATAAGGCCCTAGATAACGTAATATATTTTGGCAATACTGCAGTTTGAACTCAGGTCCTTGTACTTGCCGGGCAGGCGCTCTACCATTTGAGCCACACTTGCAGCAAACTTAATTTCTTTATTATTAAATTATATTCATTCCACCCCTGAACCAGAGATTATAGGGATAGGGTGATCTAAGTAATCTGAATCAGTGAAATTGATTCAAGCCAAAGAAAAAAATTAAATAACACTATCATCTGAAAAAAAAAATTCATACAGCCTGACATGGAGGCGCATGCCAGGCACTCGGGAGGCTGAGAGGGGTCAATTTTGTAGCACAAAACCCAGCTCAGAGCTTGACACAGAGGGAGTACTTGATATATGTGTGAGTGAACAAATAGTTTAGACGATAAACATAACAAATTATTAGGCAAAATGCCAAATTCCATCCTCATTTAATGAAAGTTCTACCAGGCGCTGGTGGTTCACATCTGTAATTCTAGCTAATTGGGAAGGTGAGGTTAGGAGGATTACCAGGAAAAGGGCTCAGAGAGAGGCTGAGCGATTTGCTTATGCTTACTCAGTCTGTCTCACCTCAAAGTTTCCTCTCTAACCTAGTCTTCCTCACAGCCATTCTAACTCTCAGGATCCCACTTCTGTGAGGGGAGCAAATAGCGGAAGTGACTTTATCTTAATAAGGGAGACAAGGAGACCAGAGGTAGCTATAAAATGTAAATGACAGAGTTAATTAGAAAAGGAATTCACTTTCAGTAGGTTGGGGGAAGGTCACATCCAGGGGGTGAAGATGGGGTTAAGTTTAATGTTGGAAGTTAAAGCTTTGGGCTTGTTTGGCCCCTGGGATGATCTCCTGGGTTGGGGTCATTGTCTTGTTACATGAGAGAGATTGCCTGTGTAAACTATTTACTATTACTTATGTAATAGGTAATACGTAAACTCTGTAAACTGTGTTCTGTTCTAAACGATAGTTTTTGTTTAAAATTCTTAACCTCTCCTCTATCCAGCTCCTAGGTTTGGGCCATTGCCTTGTTATGTACTCTGTCAGATGTAAATTACTCCTGAGTAAAGAGTAAATTAAACTTTAAGTGTGCAAAAAGTTTTACCCCAATAAAGCCTATGCCAGTCTGGTTATGAATTGGTTTTTGAGTTGGCAGCTGCTCTTTGAGATGTAGTTAGTCACTGAACCTGAGGAGTGTGAAGCCCCTTGGGAAATGCTCTGGCTTCTATGATGGAGGCTGAAATATTTCATCAGATCCACTTGAATTTTCATGGACAGTATGACAGATAAGACATTTCTATATGGGAATACAGTCATACACAGTCACAGTCACAGTGTGACTTTAGGTTAACTACTTTCCTCCAGCTCACAATGTGAAATGTTGGCCTCCAAGGGCTTGTGTGTGGTTTGGGGGTGGTTCTGCTGCCTGGGTCCTTAGTGACGTGGGAGCAGCCACAGAAGCGCTTGGGCAGGCCATACGGATGCACCACTTCTGCCTGTGCCCAACAGTGAGGAAAGTGAAACAGGTCAGCTATTGTGTGAAGAAGAATGAACCGTCTCATCTCCTGAGCACACTCCTGGTCTCTTGTCTTGAGCAGATGAAGGCAGGATGAGGATCCATGTCTGCAGTGGAGCAGGTATTTTGGAGGTGGGGCAGGTAGAGACTACAGTTATTGTAACTTTTCTTAAATTGATAACTTGGAAAAGGTGGGAAGCAAAACCAACAACAAATGAGATGAAGATTGACTTGTAACTTTATTGGATAAAATGTATTTAAAATGTAACAATCTTTTAAATAGTTCAGAGGAAATAACTTCATAGTTAATTACAGAAACAAAACAGAAAACACTGTCCTAAACTACATGGTGTGATTTTTTTTTGAGAATGAGTCTTGTTCTGTAGCTCAGGCTAGCCTTGAACTCACAATCGTCCCGTCTCAGCCTCCCGAGTGCCTGGCATGCGCCTCCATGTCAGGCTGTATGAATTTTTTTCTTCAGATGATAGTGTTATTTAATTTTTTTCTTTGGCTTGAATCAACTTCACTGATTCAGATTACTTAGATCACCCTATCCCTATAATCTCTGGTTCAGGGGTGGAATGAATATAATTTAATAATAAAGAAATTAAGTTTGCTGCAAGTGTGGCTCAAATGGTAGAGCGCCTGCCCGGCAAGTACAAGGACCTGAGTTCAAACTGCAGTATTGCCAAAATATATTACGTTATCTAGGGCCTTATTTAAAAGTCTTTTAATTAAGCTTCTTTAACCCCCAAGCAAACATCTTGATAAGAGTGAGATAGTCAAAGGAAAATGTACATTAGATATTAAAGATCTATTAGGAAATTAGAACCGATGTAGAAAACATTACTCAGCCAAGACAGTGGGAGACTGTAACTTCTTAACTTCTCTACCTAAAGGAAACCCCAAATTTGGGAGTCAAACAAACCTAGACTACAGTGTAATTTTTAGGTAAATTACTCAAATTTTGCTCTCTCTCTCTCT